TAGATAAACTTATGTACTTTAGAAGACGCAAGTGCACACCGCGCTCAAGTCGACCGTACAAGTAGACCGAAGTAACTGGGATTTCAACAAGCCGAGGGGAATCCTGAATACTCCTCTCCTTTGCTCGCTCAAATTTACCATCCATTTTGTTATGATGTAAAGAACGCGAACACCAAGCCTCTGCAAGTTCTCTGGGCTCACAGTTTCGCGTCTGCCGTTTGTGGTTACGGTAATTCGCGGGCGAAAGCGCTCCGTATCTTCTTCTTCGTCGTTGATCTATTTCTCGTTACTGGCGGTCGAGTGACCGGACAAACCGTGCGCGCCGCGACGCGCACGGGGCCGGCCTCGTTTACGATGGAAGAGAATAGAAAACAGAGGAATAAAAGCCCGAAGTGTGCTGGCGAAAGCGGAGAGTGAGAAATCCGAGCGGCGAGCGGCGAGCGAGAGGAATCCGAAGGACCGAGAGCGTATTTCGCGAGCCTCACTTTACGCGACTTGTTCTTTGTCTCGGCATGACGAGGCACAAAACTGTTCGGTGCCTCGGCGTGGCACGCGTGTCAAAATTAACATCCGCGACGTGGGCGGATAATAGACGGCGTACCACATCTTTATTGTACGCTCGTTCGCGTCGTGACGCATTGTCGCCGATGCGCTGCTGTGTGTTATGGCCCGGCAAACTTCGCGTGTCGTTCTTCGTTAAGCCGCGCCGCGCCGCGCTGTTGCAGCGCACGACGAGGGCAGCGTTATCTTGACTTGATTTTTTCACTCGGTCATTCCGGCTCATTAGGGCTTCGAACGTTCGGACGTGAATGATTCATGAACGCGGCCGAATTAATTCCTCCCTCGCGAGCGACGTAACAAAAGGAGAAACGGAAGAAAGAAAACGGGAGGTATCGGAAATCGCGGCATGTGCCCGGCTTTGTAAAAAGTTGAGCCTTCCTTTCTCCTCTCCGTTACTCCGTGTGTACTTTTGCACGGACAGATATGCGCGCGCGATGCACCTCTGCTTATTTTTTTACCGATATGGCTCGCGGCGATTCTGCCAGGCGCATTTTTTGTCAGCCGCCTGACGTCCTTCGCGTGCGAAAACGAGCGAGCGGGCGATACGCAAACAGAATGCGTGCTCGCCGTTAAAACACATGCCGGCATGAAAAACGTATGTGCCCTCGTGCGCGCGGCGCAACTTGCAGAAAAGATCGATCCTCGTGTGCCGCCAGCCGCACACGCACGCCGATCGTCCATCCACCGCGCGTTCATCCACCGAATCAACTTTCCCCTTCGCTCCGGCCGTCCCGCCGGCGCGCGGCGACGCGCGTCACGACGACACCGGTGGCGAATGGTCGGAGCGCAGTCATTGTCGCTGGAGTTCATTCATCAGCGATGTGTTCTGCCGGCGTTATCATTATCCCTATTATCTGCCAACGTAATCGCCGGCCTCTTCCGCGTGAGAAATTCTGACGCGCGCGCGCGCGACCTTCTCTTCCTCCTCTGCGCCTCTTCCTCGCACGAAGAAGCGCGGCCGCCGCGATTCGTCCGGTGAACGTTCACCGCTCGCCTCATCGGGATTATAAATCGCGATTCGGATGATAATCGAGCCGCCGCTTCCGCAAGAGCGTGAGCGCGGAATTCCAATAAGAACGACCGCGAACGCGCGCCGGCTGTGTCGCGATCGATGTGTGTGAACGAGAAGGTGCGCGTGACGCTTGTGCACGAGCCATTACGCGAGACTTACATCCTCGCGACTTCCTACGACGGCGACGGCGAACTTTTCTCTATCAAGTGCGTCGTTCCATGCACCGCGTTAGTCGCGCGAGCTCAGGTGATCGCGAGGGACGCGAGAGAAACTAACGGAGACGCCCCCCCTCCCCCCTCCCCCCAGGCACTTTTTCGCTTTTTCACACACGAGACTTATTCAACTACCCGTATGTTATCCTTTCTTCCCTCTTCCAGCAGATATTTTAACGATGGACACGATCGGCTTGGGGGGGGGGAGGGGGGAAAGATGGATTTCATTCACGTCTCTACACCTTGTGTTTATTACGAGAGCGAGTTTACTCGTAGCTGATGATTAATTATCGAAGAAACGGTGAGCAATTGCCGGAACTTTGTCGATAATTGCGACCGCACTGTTCCTGCCTGAGAGCGCGGAGATCGTAATAGCCTCCTGAGGGATCTCGAGGTATTCGATTTTTAATGCGTGTTCTCTTCGTGTCAATGTTACGTTCACGTCACTCGCGGGTCTGTCTGCGACAGCCGCAAGATGAACCTGAGAGCGAAGGAATTAAGAACGTCGACGCAAAAGGAAATTAGTAAATGCCGCGGCGGAAGAGAACGATTACGCGAGAAAAGATGGAGATACATCATAGCGGGCGACTACGTTGTTACGTTTGCTTTTCTTTCCGAGCGGCAAAAAAGTATGACTGTAAGTGCTTTCAATTAGGATAAGAGGGGATTCTCGTGAGATCCCAACAACTCGCGGGATTACGCGTGAATGCTGGTCGGATGAGCTACAAAATCTGCGGGGTAATATCCCGAAGCGATCAAACGCGCTAAAGATAATTATTTAAATATTTGCGAATTTAATTATTTAAATATTTACGAATTTAATTATTTAAATATTACGAATTTAATTTTACTCTGCGATATACAGATCAAAATAAAGTCTCAGGTGTGTGTGTGTGTGTATTCATTGCAATTGGATGAGCAAGGGAAAATGTCTATTCCAGGTGTGTGGCACGTGAAGTAATTACGAGATTAATAACGAAATTACGAAAGTAGTAACGAAATAATTTCTGGAAATCGATCGACATCGCGTACCTCTCTTTTGTGCAAATATTCGCAAAATCATGACTCGATGAAGCAAGGCATTTGCAGGCAACTGACAATGTTTCACAATTTACTCGCGCGAAGAGCTAATTTATCACATTTACGTCGGTTACTTCAAGCGGGACGATGCGGAAGAGTACGCCCAACTAAGACCATTGTAATCTCATAGACGTCACTGCCGCCATTTTGCACAGGGGATCAATAGCGCGTAATCAAATCTCCAAAGAATCAAAGAGCGCGCGCGCACAACCTGCCCGTACTCTTGTAATTACGTCGCAGTTACGAAATTACTCGCGAACGTAATATAACTCGATGAAAACGCCGGCTCCTCGGCGAAGCCCACACTCCGACGAATTAGCGTGGCACAAAACGCTTTAATGCGATCGATCTCGTTGGAGCGTCACGTCCGAATTACCGGCGTCCTCGTCGCCGGTGTCGTCTCTCCTGTCTTCCTCGAGGGGAACGAATCAGCCCCGGCGTGTTACGCGCGCAATGGAGCGCGAGTCTCCAACTTTTCTCATTTTCGCACGTGGCAATGGAAATATTCCGAGGATTGTCCGACCGCTGTGGCGACGTCTCCTCTATGCATTCATTCGCGCCGAAAAAAACAGGCTGCCAGGCGCGACACACTAGAGCAGCCACGCAAAATGCGCAACACGTAGCACGAAACGAGTTGCATGCGCGCGCGCGCGCGCGAGAGAGAGAGAGAGAGAGAGAGAGCACGAGCTGCGAGTTGCTTTCGGTATTGTCATATATCGATTTAAATAGGAAACAATCAGAGAGCGATCGAACAAAGCCCGATAAAAGAGCGGACATCGGAAGAGAACGTGACAATGACGAACAGACGTTACGCCCGCGCCGATGCGCTATGAACGTACGAAGAACTACGCTTCGACATTCGGCGAAAATGCGGCCGAGTGAGCTTGTCGCAGGACACGTGCGCTAAATCTATCCTCGTTGTCTCGGCGAGAGCATACGGCAGTCGCGAGGGCGTTGAAATTTATGTATCTCCCACGAGGACGTGGGAGATACGAAATGCAATAAAAAGTAAGCTGACGACAGTTCGCGGATTGGGAACGGACAGCACGCCACGTGTCCGATGTAAAAATACACGCTAAAAACACACGCTATAATTGATGCGCGCATTGCTCCATCGACGCGAGTTAATTATGGAAGTAATTCATTAGGCGCAATCGCAGAATTACCGGGGGACCGATGCCGGAGTAACTCGGGACGCGCATAATCGGATTGTACAGCGAGATTTATATTTCCGATTTATATTTCCATCGCACAGTAGATGGAGAGATGGTTGATTCGATACTGACGAAAGAACTGGCGTCGCTGCGCGCATCGCAAACGTTCAATTAGCATTTTGCATGTTTCAATGAACCGCACACGCATATTAAGAGTAAATGTTAAACGGAAATAGCTGGGCGACGGCACACGCGAGCGCAGTGAATGCAATAAGAATGACCGAAATAAACGGTATGAAATTTAATAGGACGAAAGCGGAAGCAGAGCGAGAGAGAAAGAGGAAGAGAGAGAGAGAGAGAGAGAGAGAGAGAGAGAAAAAGGAAAAGAAGAGGAAGAGACAGAAGGGAAGGAGGGGGAAGCAATTGTACGAGGCAACGTGCCTCCAGCTGAGGAAGTTTAATTATTATCAACTCGCGCGTAGCTGCTTGCGCGTGGTCACGACACACGCACGAAATATCTCGTGTCGGTGAGCGCTCGCGTGCACGTTTGGCACCCACAGTTGTCCGCCGCTTCCGCCGCCCCCACGGTCGCAAAAGCGGAGAACTTTCGATACGCTTTAATCGAACGAGGCATGAGTTCGGTATCAATACCGGCAAAATACGAAGCGCGTTTTAATGATAAACTGCAGTTCAGCGCCCCGCTCCTTCTCTCTCTTCTAAAAGGAAATTTGTTAATAGTGGAAACACGCTTCAGTGAGAGCGAAAAAGAGAGAGAGAGAGAGAGAGAGAGAGAGAGAGAGAGAGAATAGAGAAGCAAAGTCACGGGCAGACAGACGCAATGACATCTCTGCCAGTTGGAAACTCGTTAGTGCGTTAATAATAGAAGTGCGCGTCCGTTGACGCGGCAGTTACATCGACATAGACCCGTCATCATCAATGCTAATGCAATAATTAAGTCGAATGTTTAATCTATTTTCGCAGACCGTGGATGCAGCCGGGGGCCGGAATCGGCGGGGCCCACGTGGGCGGGACAGGTGACGATGAGGCTCCGAAGGACCCGGGAGCGCGGATCACCCATCAGTCCTACACGGAAAAAGACTACGAAGGTAAGAGGCGTTCCGGGAATTCCCGCGAATTGTCTTTCGCAGTCGATTACCTCAATTAATAGGAGAATTGACGAAAGTTTGCGTCATTTAATTGAGCTGATGGAATGTTAAGGGCGATCGTATTCGAGTGAACCTATTTCTTCTCTTCGTCTACGTCGCATTCGTGAGAGAGAGGGAGAGAGACCTTTTTTTTAGAGAGAAACAGAAAATTGACGAGTCTAATTCAATTGAGCGCTAGTTTGTACAACTGACCGTCAACTGCCGAATTATATTACGTGAATCTTGCAATGACTTGTAAGAGTCTTCAAGACGCGGCTGAAAATTTGAGACGCGACGGGCGTAAACGTACATAAATTAGGCGGATTCGGTAAAAATATCCAAAGGCGAAAGGCGAAATGTCGGAGTCGGTTAGCAAAGTATAAAAGCCCCGATTCCCTTGATATCGAGCGGCTATATTCGGCTTATCTGAATCCGCGCCCTATTTTCGCAAACCGCCGCTGTAACCTTCGTACGTGATGCTTTCGATAATTTCGACGAAAAACGGCAGATTCAACGATGCGTGCATTTTTTTCACCGGCTATACACGTCAAATTGCCACGCATTACCAAAATTAATGTTGCTCATACAAGAATATTTATGAGGCGGAAAATAATGCAAAAATATTCCTCCACATTTCGGGATTGTATCGCTCCGTTTTCAAGCGCCAAGTATTCAGCGCCGATTAAAATTGCCTTCGTATTCCATATTCGTCGAAAATATCGCTTTAGCAATTAACTCGAAGCTTCTGTCGGTTATACAGTTTTTTTTTTTTTATCGCGAAATGATATCCAATTCCGCGAAAAATGTCAAGTAGAGCGAACCCCTCACCCCCCTCCCCGCACATCTCACGTTTATATCTCTCGTAGAATATTCATTCAATTTAGCTCCCCGTGCGCAGCTCGCGAAATGTACATTATCTAGATACGCACGAGGACAACGGAAAAAGATAGTAAGAGAAAGAGAGAGAGAGGAAGATTCGATGATTCTCGGAACTCAGCGCACGTATAAAATGTTTACGGCTCCGGGCATTTCATAAAGCGAGGCACACACGAAGGCGAAAGCTTCCGCTGAAGCGTCAGATCTCCAACAGGCAATAACGTGCCTGCACGCTATAGGTCAGTCTGATACGAATCTGGCTTCGGTGTTTGCTCACACGACATCCCTCGCACGTGTAGGTGCTTCAAAAATCGTTACTTCGTTAAACAACGGTGGCTATGGACGGACACGTAGCGACGAGTTGACCTCGTACCCGTCGTCGAGGGCGAAACGTTGCCGTACGGTCGGGGGCCACGTGTATCGCGATGATCCCGAATCGACAACGCGCGTGAGCGAAGCTCTCGGCGCGAAACAGATCGATCGATCGCCGCACCTAGCCGCTGTTTAACTCCTCCGTTTGTCGCGAATCGAAGCTTTTATTGAACGATCTCGCCCCGGGCGCGCTTTGAAAATAAAGTTCTAACGGACATTCAGTTAACATCTGTAATCCGCGAGTTCCTTCGATAAAAGGAAAGAAGAGAATCCCTCGTCTGAGATCAATATTGTTCCTTACAAATTATAGTCTCATAAAAGAGAAAGATATTTCTGTTTCGTGACAAATGCATGATAATTTGCACGCAATGCAAAGTATGCATTCCAAAAGTATTAATAAGATTCCGATCTTCAACATCGCGCAGTGCGAAGTCGAGAGCACTTGTTAAAGCACATCTGTTCAAGTAATAAATATCGAGACGCATATCCAGCGCGTAAACATTTTGATCTAACGTCATTTTGCGACCCCATGTGTTGTATCGGACTTTAATATTTGTTTATATCGCCCCAGCAACGTAATACGTGTGTTTTGCCTTGTGTCTTTAACGACGCGCGCCAGACATTTAACTGTCATTTGCGTGTCTTTCGTAATACCAGACGCTGCAAACGCGCGCTAAGTATTACTTCCTGCGTCTTCTCCAGTGATTTCATACGGTCACCTTTCGCATGGTGACAATTTCCGCCAATAATCAATGCGATTTAATCGAAATATTGCATGCACTACGTAATTCGACGCTCTGAATAAGCGTTCTGAGTGTGCACTCACCATTGTGCGTTAACTCATCGCGATGTCCAGTCGTCCAGAACCGAGTCCTCAGCAGTCTGAGTCTGCTCCTCATAGTCTGCGAACTGTTGTCCATCGTTGTCGATCGCACTTCATTTATATTGCACTCGCGAGCGCGCTTGTCTCAACGGTTGAACGATTGCTCAACGGTTTAGCGAGAAGCACGTTGAATTCTGACGTTTCGAGACGTATTCGCGATCGAAATGCAAAACCCGAGGAATACACCGGCGTTCGACATGATTAAAAGCAAAGAGAGTAAACATTTCGCTTCGCAGTCGACTGTGCTTTGTCAGAAAATGCGATTCTCGTTTCGAGAAAATTTTGACCTTTAACGAAAGCAATGAATATACGTGTTGAATTCAGCGGTAATTTCAACCGAGATAATATTATAATCCGTCGCGTGTGAAACATTCGAGAAACTAATGATCACGACTATCGCGCAAAACATTTCGCGAACAAGGCAAGTAATCGCGAATTTTGCGTATGGTGGCACGATTTTGATGCGCAATGTTGGGGCGCAATTTTAATGCGCATTTTGTATCGCTCGAAACAATTCGAGAAATCATGTTAAACAAATCGAAAGAAGATGTTAAGAATTGCTATCTTTAAGAAAGCGACACTCAATACCGAGTATTCATGTATCTAGTATCTGAGTAAAATATTTATTAAAAAAAAAAAGCAATCTCCCAATTGTTTCGAGTATTATTTCAGAGGACGACACAAATACGCGAGTCCTACACTGAGAAAAAAATATGCAGTATATTTATGACAGCATAATCGCTTAATGAAACAATTATAGTCGGAAGAGTTATTTTTGTAATGAGCGCTGCTATATATAGTATTATCGATAATAACCTTGTATGCATATTTGTCTGCACTGTTAAAATAATTTTGTTGAGATAAGTGTTGGTAATGAGACCATTCGTAATTATTTCTTTTCTCAGTGTACATGCAAAAATTTACTAGTAAATCGCATTGATTTTCCGTAACGCACATTGATAGATGTGAATCCACCACCTAAAATTTGTCTTGTTGACTCACCGAAATACCGGGAACTCAGGATCGGCCACGTTCTGCTACAGATCTGAAATAAAAGAAAATATAATCAATTAGATACGATGGTTAACGTTTTGATAGTGAGAAAAATACGGGTAGTCACACGAGAGTATTGACTTTTGCGATCGTTGTAACCCAATGATTTTTTCATTCGGACAACCGTCACAGTTTTCTTTGGCGAAAGGTTAGATGTAACAAAAAATCTATAACTCACCTTCGAGCCGACCCTGCTCGGCCCGAACCGGATCCTCCGGTCGGCATTCGCACCCTTGTACAATTCACAGGCTCCACCAGATCTGAAACAAAAAGCATATTTTTCGGTTCGTTATATCAATAAACATCAGCATATTAATGATACAAAAATCAAAGAGGCACAGCGTATCTTTCTATTAAATGTAATCGATGTAAATAAAAAGCGTTGATTACCCTCAAGAATCGAAGATGACACTACTGCTCCAGATGATGACCCAGCACGATGATTACACACACGAGATAACACAAAATGCGTCTTACGCACACATCGGTCGATTCGGAAAAATCGAGAATCACGCGCGACGTGTCCTGACCCGTTTACCATCGCATCGAGAACTGTTATGATCGCTCGGCAGTTGTTTTGTATATTTATATACGTGCCTCATTCCGGGGACCACGGTTGACATGACCTTCAGCCGGCGAGAGGCGCTCGAGAGCCTCGTTAGAAAAGTTTTTCATGCATTTCACGTTCTCTACGTTGTAATATCAACGTCATGCATTATTTTGTAGCATTTAACACTCCCTCTCTCGTTCTCTCGACATTTTCAAGCCACCAAAATGTATAATTCGAATAATGACAAGAGCTCGCGGTAATCGTCGAAAGAAGCAACGACCTGCACCAAGAGAGGTCGAGATAGCCAACCGTCATCGCGGAAAACAGGCAACAATGAGATAATTCGCGATGCGGCGTGATTCTCGTGTGATAACGAGGTGACGGGCAACAATTTGCCGACAGATGCAACTGAACGAGCTTAATCAGACTCGAAATAATCCGCGAGGCTCGCGCATAATGTCACGTACAGCAGCAATACCAACGCTTCGAAACGTCCGAAAGGAAAAATCCGAAATTACTTGCTGCACGAGCCGATATATCGCATTCGAAGATTACAATATTCCAGAAAGTACCAAAGTTACGTTTCAATTCAATTAATACAGACCGCGATCGTCGCGGCCGGCCATTCGTTATCAGAAAATCGCCGGCACACCTGTTGACATATTTTTATTTTACGTCGAGAAACAAGCGTCGTCTCTTAGGCACACGCGAACGTGTAACGACTGCTTATGTTTCGAGCGTGCACAAGCCCCGTGTAAATCGATGCCCATCGGAGCCACACGAGGCGAAACACGAAGAGGAGGAGGTCCTCTTTCGCCCGTCCTCGGAATCCTCGCCCCCACCGACCCGGCTCGCGTGCGCGTCCTGATTCGCGGCGGGATCCTTATGCGATCGAACGTCACCGATCTAATTTTCTCTTTCGCGACGAAAGGAGAACCGCGCGTCCGCCTGTCGCAAGAGAGAAAGACAGTCACGTTAAATCCGCGTGTATCGACCACGACCACCACCACCGCCATCGCCATCGCCACTATCCCCGTGGTCGAGAGAGACACACTGTATGATGAGACCGTCCCTTTCATCTGCTTCCAGGTCACAGGGCGCATACGGTGTACGTAGGCGTGCACCTGCCGGGAGAGAGGAGACACCGCCGCCACCATAAACACCATCATTCACAACGGCAATCGTACCCCTGCGGTAAGGAGGATGCCGACAACGAAAGGTCGAGTAAGTCGATCCTCCTTGTCTTACACTCGCGCCGAGCCCCGATCGACCCCGCTAATGATGTCGCATTACGAGATATTCCCGAGCCCGTTCAAATACTCCGACCGCGCGCGGAAAGTATGTCGCGTAATGACGACGGGAACGAGCGCGAGCTGTGTGAGAGGCTCGCGGTAGTCTCGAGACGCCGCCCGCGGAATCGTTCTCGTTGATTGTTAACTTCGGGACGTCGAGGCGAATCTTAAATCGTGCGTCGAGTGTACACCGTTTCCGCGATACCGGATAGAGACATCGCGATTTCAAAGAGCGAGCTCGACAAAAGGAGCGCCACGAGCTCGTTCTTTGTACTCGAAATAGCTCATACGTCCTGCGAGCGTTCCACGCTCGGTGCAAGCCGGATTGCAACACTTTTTTTGCTCATTGCACTTCGCGAACGTATCTGTTCTCTCTTCCTCTTTCTCGACCGGGAAGGAGATTTGCTTTCTCTAAACCACTCTTGGACGATGAATTTTTCCGTCGGACAGCCCGGCGGTCGATCGTGGATCTCTTCCTCCGGCGGGAGTTCGTGCCGTCAAATGAAAACGATCCATCTTGAAAGCGTTCATGGAAATGTCCGCTTTCCATGAGCGCATTTTCGCAAGAGAAAGATTCACGATCGACCCTCGAAGATTCATCGGGCTAAGAGTGCCGTAAACTGCCATCCGCTGGGACTAAGGGACTCAATCGTTCAGCCGCACGTGCGATTTTTATTCCCGCGGCGCACGTGTAAACAAGCAATGCCGCGGCAATGCGTGATGCATTTCTGTCGATAGACGGATGTTTCAAATTCCACGGCTTATTAATGGAACGCGCCGCACTGCAGCGGACACGCCGGTAATTCGCGTGGGTGGTGCGTCGCGATGCGTTTAATTATGCGCATGATGTTACGTCGCGAGCCCCTCCGAGGGGGCTCAAGAATACGTGAACACGAGAATACGCGAATGCGCGAGACCCGGGGTATACCGCTGAGCAGGTTGACGCATCCTCGCGCGCGAGGAAGTTTCCTCGTGACGATAAAGTTGCACTTCCCCGCTGGATCAACGTCAGCGATCCCGGGTCGCGGCGAGCGGGCAAAACGCGCGAAATCCCGCTCTCTCGAGCGACTCGCGCCGGCTTAAATGAGTTTATTTCGACAAAAACGCGCTCCGGCTTCGACGGGGAGACGAGCTCAAAATGTGCCGGGGGGACTCAAGGCGAGCCGAAGAATGAGGTCAAGGGGCGAGTGCTCAGACGATCGCGTAACCATACAGTCGCTCGCGCTCGAAACTCGCAAGCTCCTCTTGCCGCCTTGCGACGGCCGCCCTTATCGCGCTGCGCTAAGATTTCGTCGGTCGACACGGAACGTGCGTGCACGTTGCGCGCGAAGATGCACCGAGAAATGCGCGTTTTAACAATGAATTCGTCGTCGGGCGTCGTAGTACGGTGGCACGGCGCTTGTACTATTTGCAACGCTCGACATTTGGCATCGACGCGCGATTGCGTTTCTCGCACGCTCCAAGAATGGCTCGCGTATATATGCAAATTTCCCACGAACGCGAGAAATCGATTCCCGCTGCTCACTTCTCTCGTTCACTCGTTTTTTCTTTGCCCCCTCCACCTTCTCGCTCTTTCTCTCTCTCTTTCTCTCTCTCTCTCTCTCTCTCATTATTTCTCCACCTCTCTTTCTCTCTACGTCGGTACTTTTTTTTAATAATCCCCTTGGCGAAATGTTACGGACGTACGTATATGCGAGAAAAGTCAGAAAAAGAAATATAACTGCCGAGAGCCGTCGTTTCCGACCAATTTTGCAATGCCAATAACGATCTGTGCCGGTGGCAAATTGTTATTTTGCCGAATATTATGTTTCACGCAGAAACGACCTCGACAAAATAATCGCCGTTCAAACATTCTCTTTATTTATCGGATGCGGAGCCGCTTTCGATGGTAAATACGCGGACGTTTTAATCAAACGAAGCCACGAAGCCCGACTTACCGCCGAGCATATAATTCGTGTGCATTTTCGCAGTGCCACGCGGCGGAAATGCATCCGTCGCTTTTCATTTTCGTTGTTTCTCGCTCCGCCGGACGGTCGGATAAATATAGCGTTAAAAAACGGATTGCGCTGGTCTAAAATCGGAACGAGGCCCCCCCCCCCCCACTTTGCGCACCTCGCGGCGGCGCGTGCCTCGCAGTGTCGCGACGGCACCATCATCATTTCGCTCTCGCGAATTTCATCCCGTCGCGAACAATGCACTCGTCCGACTGACCGTGTCGTGAAACTGGGCTACTTTTTTGGCGGAAAAACCGGCCGGGAATGCCGTGGCCTCGACGCGGTGTCGCACTTTTGCGGCGCTATCGAGTTGTACGTGGCAGCCCGCCAACCACTTGTCGAGACTTACCCGGGTGTTCACCCTACTTCTGATACACCGAGTACAGAGAAAGAACCGATATCGACGCGACGCAAAAGGCTCCCGCGATTTTCTTTTTTTTTCAAAAAATTCAGCGCGCGTGATATTTCGCTATGCCGTGCGATGAAATGGGAATAATTCTGTCCCCGAGAGAAAAACAAAGAAAGACCACTTGTTCCTTCTTCGTAATCCTTTCACTGTCTCTTCTCTCTTTATTTTTATCGGTTTGGAAATTTCGGTTTTCGGTAGAATTTAGAGATTCTACGGGAGAGTGAAATGAGAGAGGTGCTGCAGGGGAAAAAGATAGCTGTTGTTTGTCCAATGGTGTACATTGCGAAAAATTTGAACTTGCATTCGACGGGAAACCACAACGACAGGAAACAGGAATGATGCATCGAGTTATCGAATGCCAGTCTGTACAACGCGAGATATTTCCGGGCTCTCGGTGGGTTTTATCGGTTAGAACGTCCGTTAGAAGCGGAAATATTCGATGACGTAATAAATGATTCTACACACCTGGAGATGTACGATGCTATCGTTTTGTTCTATCTCATCCTATTCCCGGCTGCTCCGTCGTGGCACTGACACTAACACAAACACCGACGCGTAAGCCACTGGTTTGACCGAAGAAACGATTATTAATCTTTCGTTAGTCGCAATATCCGGCAGATTCGTTCAAATTACAATACGCATCGCCGTTGCTATATGGCCTCAAGATTCTTTGTCCGTCTTATTACTTATCTATTTACTCTTCACCGTTTTTATGTACTTTAGTGGCCGGTCTATTGGCCAAGTGCTAATGAAAGAAAAATTGTCTCATGAAGCGAAGGAAAATAATGAGAAAATTAATGTATCCGTGAGATACATTGCGACTACTCATGGGCGAAAAAATTGCGACTAACGGAAGGTAAACAAACGCGATGCTGACGAGGAGCCCGATTGAATATTAAAGACTGACGAGGAAATGATGACTAACTTATGTCGATTCACGTATTCCGCGCCGCGGTATGTGTATCTCTCGTCGGCTCAATTCGTACTGATTCGATCGCGGAAAGGCACACGCGAGATAATGGGCGAAAAGGACTGCGTCGCCTGCTGTCCTCGGCCGCCAGATCACAACAATCAATGTTTCCAAAATATACCACGAGCTCGACTTTGGATTCGCCTTTGTTCAAAGGCTTATCGCTACTCTGCGTCGAATCCAAACATTTGAATTTCTATCGGTGCACGGAATTACTACAGTACAGTACCAGTTTGTTAATTGTCAATTATTATATTTTTTTCCTAATAATCTTATCTTCGCTTCTCGTGAATCTGCGAATTTATCGAATTTTGTATAAAGCCAATCTCTAATAATGATAAATAGATTATGAGACAGGAGAACTCGTTTCATTCGCTCATTAACTTCATGTTATCTATTTTAATTATTTAATATTTGCTTATCGTGTTTTTTAATTATTTAATATTTGCTTATCGTGCTTGTGGTTCAATCACGCGTTGATATTCGATTCAATTAATATCTAGCTTGTGGAAATTGTGAGAATAATAAAGCGTAGGTATATTTGAAATAATCGAATAATTTAGTAGCTTGTACAGTGTTGCACCTCGAGATTTCCCCCAAATGATTCTTCGAATTGGACAAAATTCGCAAGATTGACGTAGGAGCAGAATTCGATTCGGAGTATTGTCTTTCCTCCTCATACGATTTCAGTCCGCAATATTAAACGCTTCGAAATGAACAATCAATCGAATTAAGACCTGCGAGTGAAGTTTATTCTAATTAAGAAGGAGGTCTTGTTTTCTCTTTGGATTCTCCTCGGCGTAATTCCGCGGGAGCTTTCCATGTTGCTTAATGGCGAATTAAGCTTTCCGCGATCACGGAAGCTTCGGGCCGAGTTAAGAGCGCTCGAATAGAATCGTCGAGGTGAACTGTCGCGGAATATACTTTATCCAGAAATAAAGAGCTGCATGACAGACGATGACAGAAAGTGATTAATGGTGTTGTTTGACCGTTGACGGGATGGAATATTTACAATAACGACGCGCAAAAACTTTCAGAACATTCAGATCAGTAGACTTCCGAGGCGACTCGACGATTTTCTGAGTTTTTTTCTTCGTGTCGGATGAACCAAGACGCGGCGAGGTACTAAGAGAAAGAATGGGAGGAAAGTGAATTTCTCGAAAGTTTTCGCGGAAAATACACAGGCCGGAGAATCGATGCAATTTCTTAGTCGATTGAGTACAGCGCTAACCACTTAATTTCTGCCAGTCGTCGATATCGAAACGCTCACGTTTCCCTCGTGATATTGCTTTATCTTTCATGATATCTCGATGAAAATAAATTGTGAATATCGAAATACATCGTTTTGATAAACGGCAATGGGAGCATAAAAATAATTTGCGATAAACGGTAATGAGAAAATGATAATAAATCTCGAAAAAGAATATTAATATCGAGAGACACAGGAATTTATCGGTATATTCGTAATTGTCTTTTTAACGACCTTGTCGACAGTCTGCCATCTTATCGCAAGCGTTAGTAAGTGTCTTCGTAAATGCGCGCAAACCAGTAGCTAAATATTGAACGACTTCGACACGTATATTAGTTATCGAAACAAGACAAATAAGATGAATTCTCGGACAAGAGACTCAAGTGCGAACTTCAGCACTTATCGACGACACGGATAAAGCTTCAACTATAATGCGCAAATATAATGAAAATAAGTTGTCAAACTTTATACATTCGGAACGTTTCGATTGTGCTTTTAGCGGATCACGCGCGCGCTTGGGATGAATAAACGAAGATATTTCTCGTCACGAGCGGCTGAGTCAATTCTCGTATTTACATTTGTACTTTGCTCGGGTCGGGAATCCCGATGAAACAATAACGACTCTTTTTCACGTCACTCTGCCATCGCAAGCGACAAATGATTACACTGTATGACAAACCGTTACGTGATAGAAACTGGCGACTGGCTTTCGGTTTTTCTCGCAAAAATGTACCGGTCTCTTCTCCTTTTAAATTTCCCTTCGACTCTCTCCTCTCCACCCCGCCCCGATAACGCGAGAAACAGAGACCGAAAGTATCGGCTAAATTAACAAGTGCCAAAAGCCTCCGTGCGTGGTCCGAATGACACGGCGACAACATTGACGTTGCAGGGCAATTGTTGATGGCGCGCCGAGGTCGTCTCGCTAGCATCTGCGACCCCGCCGGCGAGATGATATGTAAGCCACCCTTATACATACGCACGAGATTCTTTTGTGTGATGCAAAAACGTTTGACACGCTCATGGACCGCTCGTGCATCCTGCAACGCGCGTCGCGACGCGAATCCTCGCCGGGGTTTATCTCTGACGTGCCTCGCCGTTATATTCCACGGTCGCACGGCACAGGATTCGACGACCTCGCGTCTTTTCACGAGACCATCCATCCATACGCCGCGTCTCCGCGCATCATTGTGATCGCGTCGATGCAATATTTTAAGCGTCGTCTACAATGGCAGTAAGCAGTAAGAAGTAAGCGTGAACAGTAAGAAAAGGACCAACCACAGTCGATTATTTTTATCACAATCGACTGTGATTGCTTTATTTCTTTTACTGCTTACGCTTACTTCTTACTGCTTACTGCCATTGTAGACGACGCTTTAGACTTTAAGCCTAATCGGTCGCACGTGCGCGCGTGACTCGTCCGACAAAATATCGAACGATCGCGATAATACGCGCGTCAACGTGTGCCTTATCGGGCACACAGACGCTAGACATAGTTTCTGTATCGCGATGGACATCGTAATGGACATTTGCTCATTGTTATCATCATGTAAAGTAAAGACGAATGTACGACCGTCTCGAGGGCGCAATCAGTATGCATAAGTGCGCGCTACAGCGCGCACATTCGAAACCGCCGCACATGTCGAATACGGATTATGTATACCGAGGAATAACGTCCGGGTTATTTAACAGTTACGGGGTTATCAGTTACGATGAATACATATCGCCTTGCGGGATGTACGGACGATGCCAAAATTTATCGGAGCACCACGACACACCACGTAATTCCGGAGCAGGGTAATAACGCTGTTTACGTGTGTTGCGCGATGCAAGCGTGCGGGCGCGAGTGTACACGCGCGATGAAGATGTTACTTTGTGTTACGGTAAACCGGAGCAATCACGCGACGGGAAATTGTATTCTTTTGAAATTGCATCGCGTTACGTAGCATACAGTATAGAAAGATCTGATTTGAACAATTAAGTGTGTATACTTGAGCATACTTTTAAGTTCCTCTTCTTTTGTTTCGAGAGTTCATGATACTTGCTGCAAGTTTTCTCAAGAAGAGAAACTCCGAGCTCGAGGGGATTCGCTTGCAAAAAGTAGTGCGAGAAATGTGCAACAGCAAAAATGTAACGCGTCCGACACGTCACGGGGAACAATAATTCAAAGCGTATAAATAATCGGAAGCGCATCTGTGTTAGAAACGCTTTGAGCAACCTCTTAGTAAGCTCAGCTGAAGCATTCGAAGTAATTTAGCTAATGCAACAGTCCTCCTCGCCCCGACAACAGTTATAAATAGAGGAACAGGTTGGCGGAGAAACCCGCGCGTTTTCGTGGTCTTCCTTCTTTGTTACTTAAATATTAAAATAGTGTTTTACCCGACTCTGAGACCGACATACACGTACACTAAATATCTGGAACAACAGGTTACACGATCGTTCTTAGCTGGAGGGGCCCTGTCTCTTTTGCTCTGCTTTCTATGTGTCTCTTCTCTCTATTGTTCTCTCTGGAAGAATTTTTCTAACGTGCATGCGTCATCTATCGTAGTCGCGCGCTCGCGCGAGTCTACACTTATATTTACGCATACGTATACAGTATATTTTATGCTTCTCGGTGGATCGATCAACGTCAACCCTCCCTCATTCCGCCTCGAAATTAACGCGATCATGCCGTAAGACGCACCCATCAGATCAGCGTCGATACTTACTCCCCCTCCTCCTTCATTGCGTTATACATGTCTCGCAAAAATTGTTATAGATGGATTTTTGTTTATTATTGTGTTTGATCCATCAGTCCTCATCGAATCTTCTTCCTTCATCTTGTGTCCCGATATTTCTCTCTCTCTCTCTCTCTCTCTCTCTCTCTCTCTCTCTCTCTGAATATGAACTTCGTTGTATACAATATTCCATGTGTGGGGAAGAATCTATTTTCTCATTTATATAATATACGCTACGCAGTGTTTTCTTTCTCCTTTTAATTCTGTACATTATGTATAGACTAGAAAATTCGCTGGGATGCGCAGAGAATGAAATGCGACGTGGCATGTTTCAGGAATCGATAGCTCAACTGCTTGCACACATCGCTCTGCACGTAATCGGGAACGATTGCCTTGATAATCTCGCTGTTATTCTTCAAGCGTGAGCTCTCATAAACATTATCGTTAATTAACTCTTACACGCATACATGCGCACATCTATACATCGGATAACATTGTGTACATAATGAAAATTCGAAATCTCAATCTCAGCACTCGTTATAATCGTCAAGATATATATTCTACATATTTTCTACATCCATCAAAGTACTCTTTAATCGCATCTAGATGAACATTCTTTGCGCGAGCAATGTTCATTTATCACGAAAATCTTCATCGATCTTTCGCCTGTTCATTATCTCTTGTCGTATTTGACGTATACTCTAATGTGTCTCAATCTCTTATATAAGTATTATATATATATATATATATTCTTATATATTCTTTATATTTTATTATATTTATATATATTTCTTCCGTTTTTGTCTGCGAATGCAATTTCGCGCGCACACATTCATCAATTCATTCTCTCTCTAACTGTTTAGTCACGCCGCCGGCGCAGAGGGTGCAGTTCATCCTCGGCGAGGAAGTTGGTGACGATGCGCACGAGTCGCATCCGTTGTTCTCGGAGATGGAGGAGCTCGTCAAGGATGGCGACGAGATGGAATGGAAGGAGACCGCGAGGTAAAGTTCGAACTGATGCCGAACTCAACTCGTTGATTTAACCCTTTGTATCGCGGACAAGCCTCCCCCCTTCCAGTACGCAACGACGTTACGCATCGGAATTGTCGCGCTTTCTAGATATTATTTCATAATACGACAAAGATACTATGGAATTTTTTTCATTTCTCACGCGCTACAACGATGCGCTCTAAAAGAATAAAATCGTGCAATCGTTGCGTCCCTTCCAGTTTTTCCAATTTTACATAGAAATATTTTTAATACATTTTCTAAAATATTCAATGTATTTTTCAATGTATTTGGACGCTGTGCTCCTTCCGATATGGAAAATTAAATAACAGGAGCAAAGACAGATAAAAAGAGCAAAGAAAGAGAGCTGTTTAAGCGTTGTTTAGAGTGTATTAAGAGGACACGTAAAGTGAATCAAAATTAATATTCATTTACTTATTCCCATGTCTGAAATACGTTTAAGATAAAAGATAATGATAATTTGCGTATATTTTTAAGATTAAAAAGAAGAGCTCGAAATAATATCGCGCGGACTATATTTTTTATACATGCATATATTCGACGCGCAGGTGGATCAAGTTCGAGGAAGACGTCGAGGAAGGTGGCAATAGGTGGAGCAAACCTCACGTAGCCACATTATCGTTACACTCGCTGTTCGAGCTGAGGAGCCTCATCTTAAACGGAACTGTCATGCTCGACATGGAGGCGGTCAGTTTGGAACAGATAGCCGATCTCGTTCTCGATAACATGATCAACAAGGGAGTGCTACAGATCGAATTGCGAGAGAAAGTAAGAAGACGCAGGGAATAAAATATCACGTGTGCCACGAAAATAGACAAATCTTCGTGACATTTCTCCGAAATAGGTCGTGCGAATACAATTAGAAACTTACTTTGACGTTAAATATAGTGCACACAAAGTTCGCTGCTAAAGTTCATACGTTCCCGTTAAAATGGGAGATAAATTATCGGTCACACGAAGATAGCAACGTTATTGAATAACACCGTTTCCACGAGGAGTCCGTTGTTGATTGGTCTGTTGACGATTAAAAAATTCAAGAGTTTGAAATTCTATATTAAATCATTCGCGTTGCTCCTCGCGCGCGAATCGATATCGCACGCATGCATGCACACGTGCATACGCACACATACATATACGTATGTATCTTGATCGATCGATCTGACGAAGTATTAATATCGTTCCAGGTGAGAGAAGCCCTCCTTGTCAGGCATCGACATCAGCACGAAAGGCGCAAAGACAATAACATGTCGAGGTTACCGATCATAAGATCGTTAGCTGAGATAGGACGCAACCATTCCTCGTCGAAGAGTAAGTTTCACGTTACTGCGTCGTCTCAGTGTCGGTAATTACTTTTTTGACAGGTCGCCGATGGCTACACGAATAATGTACATAGTCTCTAATATATCAAACACACGGACGCGCTCTCTCAAGTTTGTGAGAAAACAGAGACTGCTCCAGCGTAATTAGCACCGCATATTTTTGCTTACTTAATAACTTCCGCTGTCTCGACGTGCGAGCGCGAGCGCTTTTTTTCTTCTTCTCCCTCAAGTTCATTTTATGATTATGTTTATATTTACTTGACTCCTCTTCCGTAATTATTTTGCGTTTCTTGTTAATTTTTTTCGTGTTACGATGTTATCCTTTCATTACCTAAATTAGCCAAAGTTTCTTTCGATCTCTTTTTTACGCACGACTCTCCTAGTGGCACGGTATAATCGTTCTTCAACGAAATGCAACGACAGCAATATGAGATCAATCAATTAGAGAAAACGATCATTTTCGGAAGCCGAGCTGTTAGAAGAGTCTGCGAGTCCCCGAGTTGTGATTTAAGTTGATTTAAGTTATGCTTCTTTTAATTTCTAATCCTGATTTTGTTTGCATTATTACCTGCATTTTCGTTGAAGACCACCCGGACGGCGGTGGCGTGACGAAAGAGCCGGTTCCCCCCGGCCGAGGACGTGCTAACCTTGCTAAAAACACGTACGACACAATCGACATTTTCAGATTGCGACTGTTCATGTGGTATGCATGCCTTGTTGACGTCAGATTTGCAGGAGCGTCGCGAACCCAAGGAAGCTTACATGCCCTCCGTCGCCCGCAGCAGCAGCTGCCCAAACTCGAACACGGCCCCGCTGTCGAAAGAGGCGAAAGACCTCAAAGGGCCATATCTTCTAGTTCCAGGTACCACTCAGGCCAGTCCGCTAAGCAGCCTTGGATTGCGGTGCTTTTGTGGCTTTTCTAACCACACCCCACCGGAACAACCCACTAACAACTACAACATGCGTGTATCGATCGCCTCGCAAATTCCCGTCCGCTTTGCGCTCGGCCATTCGAATTAACGCGTAAACGTTCACTTTCATGGGTCCTGAGTGTATCCATAATCACGATGTAAATCTCGATGAAACAAACAGAACGAAGATGAAATGAACGGCAGACGCAATCTTTCTGCTCGATTGCGCCAAAGAAAGTAAAGTTTCCATTATACTAATGCACTTTTCTCTTTCTCTCTCTCTCTCTCTCTCTCTCTCTCTCTCTCTCTCTCTCTCTCTCCGTTGTCTTCCGATGTCTCAAGAAACGACAGCTTACGAAAGCGTCGCGAATTTAGAGAGCGAGCGATACACTGGGCTGTAATATAGTATCATGCGTGTAACAACGCGAGTGCTGATCGAGCGAGGATCAAGGAGGTGACCTCGATCCTTCGTTAGATCCGCAACGCGTTGGATCTACTAGCCATCATGGTCATTTGTGTTTCCCGAAACCATCCGATTTTTCTCGGTGATGGATCGGTGGTGGTGGATTGTCCATGTTAATTGATCGCCAATGTAGAGAAATCGCCAAGCAAGCGAATCATCGAGGCTGCTCGTCGCTCGCACCCGTCGAATCGATCGCTCAAACCACCCCCACTCCAGTGGCCGATCAGGTCGACAAATCTGTGACTCACCATCGTTTTCTGTTTTCTTTTGTCAGACGAATTCGGCATACCCCACGTGGTGGGATTCACGACATGGTTCGCGATGTGTCCGCTAAAAGGTAGTTAGCTCGCCAGGTGGTTTATTCTCGATTCCATACGAATCTCTGCACACAATTCTACTACTATTATTACTACACCATGTCTTCCGTCTATTCTAGAGTCTCTTCTCTCTGTTGTTATATCTTTCGTATTCTCTATCACTCGTAAAAAAACTCGCGATCGACGCGCCTCACCAGACGGTCTCGTCGATCCCGCCACTTACTATTTTAACTATCTCGATGGAACTATGACTGTCTGACTGTAGAGATTGTTGCACACGAACTTTTCGAATTACATTTCGTCGGGCCATTACCCGCGCGCGAGACGAGAATCACAAAGATCGCACAATAATCCCAGTGGTGTTCACGTCGTCGCGCGAACGCCTGAGATGTCGTTCGCGATCGCGATCAAACCGCGTTGAACCACCGCGGTTAGTAGCCGCGAAATTGACTACGTTCGCGACGACGGGAAAAACAATGAGGTGACTGTCCGTCGAACGCGTGTCCTCGTGTCACGAGAGAGCAAAAATCGACGACGTTGCGATGCGGATAACGCGATTTATAACGCTTGCGACTTGCGACTGCGCTTGCGATGCGCGGCGGTCGATTCCGCTGCGACGAACGTGGAGATGCAAGTTGATCGTTAAAGTCAACCCGATCGATTCCTCGGTGTCGGGGTTATCCTGAATATTCTCGGTAGTTATCGAGGTGGAATTGTGGTTGCCAACCCTCAAATACGCCCGCACTGTGAGAAGTGGATTGTGGTTGCGGAGCATAATACGCATTCTCGCCACATATTCGGCATTAAATACAGCCGTCCAATTACGATTCTCTCATTGAATCGCAGCTACGCTTAACGCCGGCCCAGGCAGACGCGGAAATTGTGCAAATCGGATGTACGGGCGTATTTAGCGTCGATCGCGCAGAGGGGTCTCGACACTTCAGATGGTACTTTAATGTGTGTTTGCGAGTAAACAGTTCAGTTCCTCCGCCGTACATGACATTATTGCAATTCATCGCTCGCGGTATCATTGTCCACCGATCAACACGCACGCTCCCCGTTGACAACGTAGACCGACGTTTACAATTCCGATCACGAGGCATGGAACTTTCGTAGTAATCGTACTATCGTACTACTATGTGCATGCAATTCCATGTAAATCCTGTCTAACGTATATTTATTACTACTAACTGTGTATCTGTGGTTCTCAGTGTTATAATCGACTAATATCTTTTCAGTATCCCAGCTAAAGTAATCCTCATTGTCCTCGTGAGAGAAGCGAAAGATGCATACATGTGTGACGTGTTATCGTAATCGAAACACCGACAGCTGATAATTTAATCTTCTCCCGCAATTCTTTCCTTTCCTCTCTGAAACCTGTGCGGCAAATCTAAATTCTCTTCTCTTTTCCTTCAAAAATCGTACTCTCCAAGGGGCGATACTTTTTACGCTGCGAAAACGCTGTCGAATGGTCGTCGGTGTGTATGTATGCGCGTGCATCTGCAATCGTCGCAAAAAAAAAATCACGCCTTTGCGAATCTTTCCGAAGCAAAGTGCACAACACCTCGTCGTGGTAGCAACCGTGTTTATACCTGTCCGCTAAGTGGCGAGAATGCGCGAGCTGTTTGAGCTTTACGGCCGCTGTGAAACTCGCTGACGTACATGTGAAAATGGAATGACGTTAGGGAAACATTAACGCGCGGTGACGTCGGCCAAGAAAATTTACGCGATGTCGTAGCTATTTACCGTCGATTGCACAGCCCGACCCTGACGTGCCGCGCGGCGCACGGTGGCACTTTCCACGTAAAAATAGAAACGGTTGCACGTGTAATACTCTCTTTCTCTATTTCTTATCTCTCTCCTTCTCTCTCTCTCTCTCTCTCTCTCTCTCTCTCTCTCTCTCTCTCTCTCTCTCTCTCTCTCTCCCTCTCTCTCTCTTTCTCTCTCTCTCTCTCTCTCTCTCTCTCTCTCTCTCTCTCTCTCTCTCGCTCACCTTGCGATAACATTCAGCGATCAACGCGTACATGAAACACTCCGGAACGAAACTGTTCGCCCGCACGCGACGTTTCCTTCCCGGATTAGAATTCGAGATCGAGATTAAAACGTTGCCGTGCGCAATGAGACGGCTACACTCTTAACAGCGACAAATGCCGGACTATCCCTTTCGCATAGTAACGATACCCGATGGAGACGGATAAGTGAAACTAATTACGACCAATAACACAAGCACGCACAAAGTATCGTCATCTCGCGCGAATGTCGCAACGAGAATCCACGTCGTCGGTCTGTTCGAGACTCTCGATCGAGATCGATACGTTGCCGAGACGTTGTCGGGAGACTCGTCACGACGACGTCACTGCCTCCTTATTGCCTCCCTTGCTCGCACTGCTCGTCCTTTGTAAATAAACGACGCTCCTGGTGTTGTGTTTCATGCTCATTTTTAGTGGAGGAATCGAATTCCGCTCCGGCGATCGCCGGCGCAACAAGTCAGGGCAGTGGAGCAGCGCTGAATGCTGGTAGCCGCTTCCTTGCGATACCCGGCAATCCCGGTAAACCGCTTTTCTGTGCTCGCTTCTTACACTCTGCTCAGAGAACACACCTTCACACACTTACGAGCCTCGTTGAGTCCGTTCCTCGTTGAAGCTCCGTACACGTACACGTAGATCATGTATACACCCGCAGTAGCAAATTGGCCGCGCCGTGTCGGCGTCGCGGGCGTCCACGAGCGGAAGACCGCCGTGAGATCCCGCGGGAGCCGAACGCTTTTTTGCGATGCGACAGCGAGAAGCTCTCCGCGAATTCGTTCGGTTCGTTCGCGACCGAAGCCTGGAATTAACGCGGTTGTTCTTACACGCGACAACGATAGTCGAGCTGCGGAAAAGCGCCAAGCGTCATTATTTCTCCTACCTATGCCATTTCAAACCTATGCCATCAAACGAGCTCGAGGCGAAATACGCGCAGCGACTTACATCTGTTTTTTTATTTATCGCTCTCCTGTTTACTTTTCACTTCCTTCCGATCTGCAGCAACGTCCGAATATTTAGTTACATATCTCCGGGTGAGCATTCGCTCGCCGAAGATTGCTAGGAATATCGAGCGACATCTAAAGTGGAGTCGTCGCTATCACGACCTTCCTTTTCTCTCTCTTCCCCCCCCCTCTCTCTTTCTCTCTCTTCCTCTACGATAAAACTATCGGGGAAATTTACGGTGCGGATTATCCTTGCAAAAGATTGTCCGTAAGCGTCCTTGGCATTTGACCGGCGGCAAGGGTCGCCGTACCAAGTACGCCGGCTTCCGATCGATCGCGTAGAAGTTCATTTAATCCGCCTAATCGAATCCGTCTGCGTTCATACTGTCGATTTTACTACGTTGATCCACGATTGGAAGTGGCTTCGGTTGTTTCGCGATCGCGCGCGATCATCTCGGCAGCGCGATAGCGCATAATTCAATCTCGAGAAGTATCGCCTTCGCAATCAACAACGTATCCCTTCTTCGATTACGCGCGATTTATATCGCAGACCGTTGAGCCGATTACTTGTCGCTCCGTTACTTGTAGATCCGGTTTAATCGCGCCGCTTAATGAGAACTGGTTGCAGCGCCAAGTAATTTCCTCCGTAAAATCGCGTATTTAATTCGCGAAATTCGGAGATATAACGCGAAATTAGTTTGTCATTCGCCTCAATGAGCATCGCAAGCGCGATAAAACGCAGCACTGTCGAATTATCCGCGCGATTATACGGATGCACAGTGAGAAGTGCCGTTGCGTTTCGCAATTGACGATCGCCGTGATGCTTTGTACGCCGTTAAACATGATCTCTCTTTCATGAATATTCGCAAGTTTGTAGCATCCACCATAGACGCGAGTTTCATCTCGCGATACCCCGTGGCCGAGTCTCAGAGCCTAAAGGACGTCGCTCGTCTCGATGAGCTCTTATTATCCGCGGTTTGATGTTGTTCGAAATAAACACCGTAAGATGCCTGTTTTAATTTTACGACGCTTCAAACACCGACGCTGTTCTTTCTCAACGCAGCGCTCGGAGAGATTCCTCTGCCGTCTTTCACTCTTTCACGAGCGAAAAGACAAGCTCGTTTCTTCCCCGTGGAGGTTAATGGGAAGTGTGTTTTGAATTCATAGACGGTTTTCGCTCTGGTAGATCAACAACTACCCATTGAAAATTTCCTCACCGTATTTTCCGATCCCTCCCCCTTCCCCCCTTCCAGACCTCGTCAGAAGGAAGAAAACGAGACCGCGCGGAAGCTCATGAATTTCCGCAGCGATGTAATGATTTTACGACGAGTTAAAGACGCGTTCTCTCGCCCCTCTTGACTTCTACGAGGAGGCTGCCTGCCTTAAAGCGGAACCAGTTGCACGTAACTGGCTAATTTCGCGAAAGTGCGAATTCGCGCATGGGCGTGTGATATTCGAGCCGTACGAAATCGCAATTTGGTTGGTTAAGAATCCGCAAGCTCACCTAGAGGATTAATGACGCACGGGCGGATGAAACCCGAGTCGAAATATCAGTTCTGCATTAATCCTGCAGAGCAGCTCGTCGAACTTGAGAAATCAATGGAGAATTTTGTGGTGCAAAGCTGTGACAGACTGTTGTCCTACTATTATGCGGCTGATGATTGTTCGATCGTGTTCTAGTCACGTTAAAATCAGAAGCCTCCTGCATAACAAATGACATACCTGGGAATATATGATGCGTCGCCGTCCACGTCTCAGCGGTTTGCGTCTTTCGTCTTGGCTTCCTGATCGAGCATCCTGGCTTCCTGTGGTCCCGTGGTTCGTGACACCCGAATATTCACATGTGACAATGCGCTGACGTTGGCGTTTACACAACATTTTGATATTATGTCAGCAACTTTGATACTTGCACCGATATTAAACCGACACTTGTGTAGATGCGATTCGAACGAAAATTAGGTTATATTACGATGTTGCGTTCCGTATTATTAGCGATCGACAAAAGTGACGTTTTATCGATTTCAGTTTATCTCCGCGTATTTCTCAGCGATTACCTTACATCTCGATTCGGCGATGCGATGTATGCACATCGTTGAAACATTATTAATGTTAACAATCATAAAATAATTGCCGTTACTTGATTCAAATACTTCATACGCGAAAACACGTCGCGACCTCACTGAGCGCGGCGAATTGCGAACTACGATCTGTACCTTCCAGCTGTACTTTTTGTACTCTCTTGCGATTTCTGTTCTTCCTCTTTCTTCTAAAATTGTACATAGGTACTTACCTTAGTAAGTAATTAGTAAGTAGTATATGGAACATATCTACTTGATTTTATGTGCGTAATATATGCGTATTTCATCTTACGTGCAACTGAAAGGAGCAAATCTCTGGTATAAGGATCTTCATAGCCGACGAATAGCCGTAGTCGTAATCGTGAGTCGACGGTAAGAACTGGCCAATCATGTTAAGTATTTTAGAACCGGAAGATTACAACCTTCGAGAATACTCGTTTGTAATTGGTCAATTCATACATTCGTCTTATATTACGAATACGCTAATTCGCCCATGAAAGCACGACCAACCAGTCATCGTTACTTGCCGATTTATTCGCCGGAAATTCAGAAATTGTACTTCTCGCGCGAGATAGTTATTTGTCGGCATATCGTTAACTTCAATTCACGTTGTTCAACTACCAAATGTAAATTTATTCGCGTTCGAATCGTATCTAATCGTATCGACGTGAATGTAATATGAGAGTCAGTGGTAATGCTAATGCTACTGTCATCGATAGTGATAGTGACAGTGTCATGCGATTTTGCATTCGGATCACATTTGTGCGAGCATCAGTGCTAGTGTTGTCAGTGCCAGTGCCACAAAGGAGCATCCAGAGTGCTACGATAAAGCTACCCGAAAAGACAGAATGCTGAATTGGAAAGCCAAGACGAAAGATGCTGGGCGCCGGGACATGATCCCAACGATCCCAAGTAGCACAAAACATCTTAAGATCGTTCTGGACACTCAGGATGTCTTAGGACACTCTTCAGTGCATCCTGGATAACTATCTGGATGATTTTGAAACATCTTTAATACAAGAATGCTATCTGGGATATATCTCTAGATTTGTATAAAATCATTTATTATACAAAAGATTTTTTACTTTAATAAATATCAAATAACTGAAATAAGCTTTTCTTTAAGAAAAATCAGCCAAATTCTTTATATCTTGAAGAAAAGAATATAAATATTTATAAAACATCAAGATGGAATTTAATATTCAATATAATGTTAAACCCTAAGATTCTCCATTGATGCTTTTTCAAATTCGATAGAATTTGCAATATAGAGCAAAAATTTTGGCTCTGGGAGTCATCACTTTCCCATCTTGCTACTGATAGGGGATGTCATTCATGCCATGCTTGAAAAATGCAGTAGGCAGTAAGCCAGATCTCTTTCAGGCCAAGAACCAGGCAGCAATGGCATGGACCGGAGCCCCAGCAGTGTGTCCATCAGCAGGAATCACAGCTCCTCGGCTTTGGAAAATGGAGATGCTAATCACAGGGTTCGTAGATGCACAATTAGATACCTATGTGATTTAATATTGCAACACAAAGATTACTAATGTTTCATTTTGTTCCCAATTACCATATACAAATCATGATTGCAATTAAACATTGCCAAACTATATATCTATCAGTTACTATGTAATTATTAATCTTATGGAAGATATTGAAAGCAAGAAAAGTTTGTCAACTTTTTCTTGATGTTAGATTAGCTAAAAACTTCAGGATTTCAACAGCTATTCATGAAAACTCCAGTATACTATTGTATGATGAAGATATATTCATATCACTCAAAATATTTTTGTGTTGTAAAATTAGAAAAATATCCAAACAAATTATGAATTAATTGTTGCAATATATAAATTTGGATTTTAGTGTAAATATATTCCAATTACAATATGGTACATTATATTATTCAATAAGAATTTTCTCTTTGCATACATAGAATGCAGATTCGTCAGTTGCAATTCAATCAAGTAACAATTTAATAATGTTCTTCATGTAATATGAAACTGAATAAATTTTGATAAATGGTCGACTGCTTCTTCATATTTATAACAGTAATGCTTAATATCGTATATGGATAATAGTAAGAAATATAATTATAGTTTACAAGTTTGCCAATACTAAAGTTTAGTCAGAATTCTCTCTCTTTAATGTCGAGATCACACTTTCCGTTCATGTTAAGTACCATAAGCGACTTAATCTAGGAACCTTCAGCTTTGCTTTCTCATTAGGGTAATACACACTTTATGAGGAAGATACCAGCTGGTGCTGAAGCGAGCAACATCCTCGTGGGTGAGGTTGACTTCCTCGACAAGACACTGTCCGCTTTCATCCGATTGAGCCAGGCCGGGATAATGGGCGACCTGACGGAGGTACCCGTGCCGACGAGATTTATCTTCGTACTGCTGGGACCCATGGTAAGAAACTACGCATTGTGATTATACGTAGTTATAGAAACGGAGGTAAACGCAAAAAACGTTGACGGAAACCTGATTACGATCCATTTAAAAACACATCGTTGTCTCGTTCTCTCATGTCCTCTTCGAAACCCGGATATGTAAAAATTCACCGCACGTACGCTATGCCCACGCTTTAATTAACGCGTCTCATATATGGTAGGAATGAAAAACGTTTGAATTCGCGCGCTTCATGAATTCAAGTGAGATATATAACGGAGTTCTCGGTAGCGACAAAATTTTCGCATCACAGAATCACGTAATGCCGCTCGTAAATATAGCGCCATTTTTTTTTTCCTTATCCGGAAAGCAAAAAGGATTGCAAAACACGTTCCCTTTGGATATGTTTTGAAATAGATGGAAATTCTGAGATCTCTGAAATCAAATTGAAACATCCAACCTTTCCATTATCAATTACACCCTTAAATTGAAACATGTGACAATTACGCTCGCGAAGATTACTAATAGAACTTTGAAGACCATTTAATTAGTATCTAATTTAGCACTGCATCCTAGAATTTAATGCCTGAGCAATTTAACTGTTAGCAAGATTTCATCGTTGAAAGTATATGTTCTACAAGTGTTGTACAAGTCTCATCGATGTAATTTTTAGTTTAGTCAAGATAATGAGTACGAATTTTTGTAATGGATTTATTATTGTTATTAATGTTTCATTTTTTTATTCTAATCTACATTGTAATTATTCCATCATTTCAATTTATATTAAATAACAATGATCTCATTGAATAAACAGATCAGAACAGAAAATGTTTAGGCAGATATCCAGACATGTTCTATTGCGTATAAAAGAGTGCGTCGGGCAATTAATTCAGTGGATTAATTTATCACAATATTTATTTACGATCATCCTGCAGAACAAAAGTAAACAATTAGCATAACCATATGTAGTTCTGGATGTCAATAAAATTGCTTTTCATTTCGCATGACTACATTAGCTCATTCGCGAATTAAGACCTACAAACTTTTAAATCATGTTTCAAAATATATGAGTATTTTACAGCTAGTGGCACCTCACGAGAGTGACGCGTACTATAACCGTAAAGCAGCTGTGAACGATAAGATCTAAGCGATGTGTTGGGGTAGGTCCGGTCCGCATACCGCTGTTCACTGTTCATGCGCATTCTCTTTTCCACACTCCACGTCTGTGACAGATGATACTGACCGCATACACGTAGCAACGAATGAACTTCGGCTTTAATTTATCTATAACGAAACGATATATGTCGTCGCAGCTAGTGAGGATCTTAGTTATTTTGAGCATAGATTAAAATCTTATCACTCATATTTTGTTAATTAATATGTCATGACCTGTCATTTCCGAGCCTGTCACTTTTCGATTTTTCGTGGTCTCTAACTCCGAAATGCGTAATTATACCTCGATGCGGTTTGCTTGGATTATCTTTATTTCAAGCTTAGATTAATGTCTCGTTGCAAATAATTTTGCAACTTATACCTGGTGACTCATCTTTTTCACATTTCACATTTCGATCGATCGTGATCCAATGGCTGCAATTTTTTCATAACGAGTAGACGCACGTCGTTGCGATTTACGAGGATCTTAGTTTTTTTGTGTCTAAATTAAAACCTTTTCATTCATGTTGCGTTATATATTTTAGGATGTTTGTTATTTTATGGATTGTGGCATCAGAATTTCGCAGCGAAAATAAATCTTTGTAACAAATGAGCTGACATGTCTACATGAGGAGAATGTTTATTAGTATTAAGAAGAAAAATTTGTTAAGTCACTGTTGGTTTTTAAAAATAACGCAGATTATGATAAAACACAGTGTTTTTCATTGCTATCAAAATTTTCCCGGAAATAACATTTATATTTTGTAAAAAATACTTATTTTGAAAACAAAATGTATTAAGATATCTCCTTTTTAGAAATAATCACGTTTATATCATTAATTTATATTATTAATAATTCTTGAATATGTATTTGAGATTCGAGATAGCCATCTTATACGTTAGAAATCAACATTCCCCCCCTCCTCTCTCTCTCTCTTTCTCTCTCATATACACGCGTACATATACACACATACTCTGGAATGTCGTTTTTCTTCTCGCATAAAAATAAGTAAAAAAAAAATAAGTAATAAAAATAAAAATAAGTTGTTCATTATTTTCTACGTGATGATTATTCTGTAACAAAAATTATTTCTTGATAAGCAAAAATAATAGTCTATCTTGGTGCCCTATACGTGACTATTCTTTGACGCCTATTTCGCAGGCTTTCACGTTTTCTTTTCGTCTTACCTTTTAAGTAGCCTTTGATATTAAATAATATTTAGCTCTATTATTTCGAAACTATATAATTATGTAATTTGTGATGTGATTTTAAAAATTAAAAGAAAGAATATGTGAAATAAAGAATATTACATTATTAATACAATTGAATGAATTTTCTAAGTTTGAACGATGTTATAAATGTATGATATTCGCTTGTCATGACTTCAGGGTGGAAGTTCAGGTTTCGGCAGAGAGATTGGTCGAGCCATGGCGACTCTGATGTCCGATGAAGTCTTCCACGACGTGGCTTACAAAGCGAAAAATCGAAATCATCTCTTAGCTGGCATCGATGAATTCCTAGATGCCGTAACGGTATTACCACCCGGTGAATGGGATCCAACAATCAGGATAGAACCACCAGCCGCTATACCTTCGCAGGTAAGGAGAATTATCTCCGGACTTGATACATTTCAACGAAACAAGTGTCGCAAAGTACAATATTTTCATTATTGATTTCATTTTTTTCCATGTCCTTCGATTTCAATATTAAACTCGACAAAATTGTTTCGTCTCTTTTCCACAAAATTAATTTTGAAATTCTTAACTTCTCATTGTAACTTGTATTTTTAAAGAGTATCTTGCCGTCTTCGTAATCGTAGACGCATAACGATGATTTCAGGAAGTCAGAAAGAGACCCAAGGAAGAGAAGCCAAAGGAGGAATTTGATGAGGAGGCTGACGAACAAAAGCAAAGGGAAGAATCCGGCCTTGCGAGATCCGGCAGATTGTTTGGAGGACTGATCAACGACGTGAAGAGGAAAGTTCCATTTTATTGGTCCGATTTCAAGGATGCCTTGGCGCTTCAGTGCGTAGCGTCTTTTATTTTCTTGTACTTCGCCTGCCTGTCACCCATCATCACCTTCGGTGGCCTTCTTAGCGAGGCTACCGGTAAAAACATGGCCGCTATGGAGTCGCTAGTCTCCGGCTTCGTCTGCGGTATAGGATATGGCTTCTTCTCCGGCCAACCACTGACTATACTGGGCTCCACCGGTCCAGTTTTAGTTTTCGAGACGATCGTGTACGAATTCTGCAAGTGAGAACCGACAATATTTGATATTCGCGTATCGATTGACTTCTTTCAGCAACATTTGATTTTTCTGAATCAGCCTTTTCTATATAACTTGACAAGTGAAGATAAATTAGACAATACAAAGCATGTCAAATATAAATTCTTGCCTCGCGATCAAGATTCGCTTTCTTTGTATATTATTCCGGGATGATCTGATCAGATCCTCGTTTTCTTCGCAGGCAAGTCGAATGGAATTATATGTCTTTCCGTTTCTGGATTGGCACATGGACTGCTATTATCCTGATGATCCTCGTGGCAATAGACGCGAGTGCTTTGGTCTGTTACATCACTCGTTTCACGGAAGAAAACTTCGCCACCCTCATTGCCTTCATCTTCATTTACAAGGTAAAAAAAATTGACCAACTGTCAATTGCTAATACCTCAATCTGGAATATTGGTTCGATAGAATTTTCTATTTTTCATTTAAAAAGATCTTATTCTAAAAAAACAATTTTTCGTTACAAATATTACAGATATAAATAACTTTTATAGTACTTTTTATATTATTTGTGTGTTATTTTTATGTAAATATTCGTTATATATTTTAGGCAATCGAGAATGTGTTGTCGATCGGCAAGAAGTTCCCCCTGAACACCCACCCTAGTGAAACGTTGGGTTACGATTGTTGGTGTAAACCACCGAACATCACTTTGCCATCCAGTTACGACAATGTGAACTGGACGATGCTGAATCAGACAACATGCGAGGTATCAGAATAATACATGAAGAAGCCAAGTGCGGCAATCTGCTTATTGCTAGCGAATACAGTAAACAGTCCAATTATATTATACGAGGTCTGTACTTTGAACGCACTTGAATCAATCGCCTCCAGTAACAAGATTAAAGCGACCTTTGTTCTTATTATATACGCGTAGTCTTTATAGAGATCGCAATTATAGAAATTGCAGTTACAGCACTGCTCTTTCTCTACCTCGTGAAGTAGCAAGTACAAACATTGCAATCGTGGCTACAGTGGTTCATTTGACGCATTCGCATTCGTGTGCAATAAGAAGCTTGCATAAGCATACAAACGTCTCATTAGGTTTGTCCGTGACGATCAAACGCACAAAGTTTCTTGGCTGCTGCCTCTTGAGAAATTACAAGCTCCTCTAAGGAACAAGATTATTCACCCTATCTGAATTGACGGCGCGACGCGATATCGATCCGATTCACCCTAGAATTCCTCTTTTGACATCATGTTCGTTACTGCCTCTTTCAGAACTACAATGGCACGATGGTGGGCGATGGATGCAGCGCGCCGCATTACGTACCCGATGTGTTCCTCATGTCAATTATCTTATTTATGGGCACGTTCTTGCTGTCGGTGGAACTCAAAGATTTCAAGAATGCTTTGTTCTTCCCCTCAAAGGTCAGTAGTAGGTTATGTTATATGTACATTAATTTAAAATCTTGAAACTGACATAGTAAAAGATCAGCTTTGTTTTCTTAATTAAGAAAGTTACATGGGGCATTTCCATGCAAAGCGTTGCTATATTTAATATTAGATATTTAATTTACGTCGTTTATTCAAATATAATCAATGATTGTTTTTTGATACGTTCGATTGTGCTTTCACTCTTTCGTTTCAATATCTTAGATAACTGCTATTACATTAACTCAATAACTTTTTAAATTCATTGTTAAATTTCTTAGATTTTCTAAATTTCATCATCGCTGAATTTTATTTTTTTCTCTCATAATAATATCATGTCATTTACTTTTTCTTACAGGTGAGGCAAGTGGTGAGCGACTTCGCGGTAATAATCGCGATATTCTCTATGAGCACGTTAGACCACTTTGTGAGTATCCCGACACCGAAGTTGGAAGTGCCGACGGAATTTAAGCCGACATTGGAGGGACGAGGATGGGTGATCTGGCCTTTTCAGCACAATCCGTGGTGGAGTGCTGTCGTGGCGTGCCTCCCCGCTTTATTAGGCACTATATTGATCTTCATGGATCAGCAAATCACAGCCGTTATAGTCAATAGGAAGGAGAACAAGTTAAAGGTGAGCGGTTATAATGTTTTTTTTTTCCCGAATCTCGTTCATTTATTTTACTAACAAAATGCTATTTAAATACGTACTTATATCATTTGAATGATAATTGACGATTGTCTTTTACAACACGTGTGATCGCACGTAATTGCACATATTTTTAATCATTATGTCGATTGTCAATAACATCATTATCTCATTTTTATCGATGCTTTTTCAGAAAGGATGCGGTTATCACTTGGACCTCTTCGTTTTGGCGATCCTAATCGAGATATGCTCGGTGATGGGACTCCCGTGGTTCGTCGCAGCGACAGTACTTTCCATCAACCATGTGAACTCACTAAAGTTAGAATCCGAATGCGCTGCACCGGGCGAGAAACCGCAGTTCTTGGGCGTCCGCGAACAAAGAGTCACTCATATATTAATTTTCCTGATGATCGGTTGTTCAGTGCTGCTAACTCCCATGCTACGAAACATACCAATGCCGGTGTTGTTCGGTGTCTTCCTGTACATGGGCGTCGCATCATTGAAAGGTCTCCAATTCTTCGACAGGATTTTAATCATGTTAATGCCCGTTAAGTACCAGCCGGACTACATGTTCTTGCGTCAGGTGAGCAAACTTTATAAAATAAAGGAATGCCAAACACGTTTTGATCGAAAGGAAAACAGCATCTCTGATTCTTAGAATCAAATTTAATTTATGAGAATCAGAAGCATGGTTCGAAAGAATGCGTTTGGTTTATTTATTGTCACGTTAATTCAATTAATCTTTTCTATTTTTCCTTACAAAGAACCCCTAGAATAATTCCACATACATATATTTTATATACATTTATTTTACGATTGATCTGTTGATTTGTTCAAGGCACGTTTCTTAAATGAATTATTTCAAAAATTATAGAAATTTGAGACAATTGAGTCGAGTTATTTTCACGATGCCTAGTTTTCAATATTCTCAAGCAAGCACGTTTCCTTTCAGGTGCCGTTAAAGCGCGTGCACATGTTCACCGTGATCCAACTTACCTGTCTCGCTTGTCTCTGGATTATAAAGTCCTTCAGCACCACTTCTATCTTATTCCCCTTAATGGTGAGTAAACGACTTAAGGATTTCTTGTCGACACTTGTAGAATACGAAGATAAGGTATCGAAAGTATTCCATCGTATAAAGTATGAAGTTCCACACGGATTTCATTCGAGAAATTTTACGCGGAGATTTCCATGCGATCCGTTATTTTTACTAATGCTATACGGCTAATTTTGAAATCTGGATCAATATGCAACTAATGTCAAGCGCTGAGCGAAAAATTCTCTCTTGGCTAATATGCGGTATTTGTACTAAAATTTTTCCCGGTTTGAGATCAAAAGTTATCGTTTGATTGTAATTCAGTGCCGAACCAATATTAGCTACTAATATTCGGCCAGTATCGAAAATTCGGATACCTGGTAATATTCCGACGCAGGGCCAATTTTTAAATTTTATATATGAGAAACTATATGGACGATTTTGCGATATTCGGTTACGGTATCACTGTTTTTCACGTTTCCATTTATGTAAAAAATTATTAAAAGTGCTATCAATTCTTTTTTACTCATCTCTATCATTATTCAAAATTATGAATTATTTTACAAATTCAGTTATATAATTTTTATTGCTAAATCTTGTTTTTTAACAAAATTATAAATAAGTACATTCCTAAAATAATCTCACAACTAGTTTAAAGTATGTCACGTTTTGATTTTAGCGAGTGGAAAGACAAAAGCCAAGTAAGCTCGGTAGAGTTTAAGAAGTAACGGAGCATTTCGCAATGATTACAACTATTGTTGTGCTTTACAGCTTGTGGTGATGATTGGTATACGCAAATCCTTGGACCTGATGTTCACGCAACGCGAATTGAAGATTCTTGACGACGTAATGCCAGAGCCTAGTAAGAAGCATGCCGATGATCTTCGCAAGCTGGAGAACGGCGAGGTTAGCACCGTGACACGAATAGTAAACGGCATCATCTGTTGCAAATAGCATACAGACGGTGATTGCGTGGCGAATGCTCGCCCCGTGGTCACCATAAACCTCTCTGACTTCGGGGAATCTGCTTTTTGCCGAAGAAACGACATACATACTACAACGAGCGGTCGGACGAATCTGACCTAGAACGAAATTAGAGATTTTCCTTCTATTTTTTTTTCCCTCTTTTGTCGTCACTGCGCAGAGACCAGATTCGAGCAAAGACACTGTCCTCGGATACCAAGCTCTGAGACAAACTAGTTTAATTTAGCTGCGCATAGACACACGTATATGTATGCGGAATAATCTTTAAGGAACATAATCTGGCCTTCGATGATTTCGAAAACGGGCGGACCAACACTTTCTACGACATATATTCTTTTTACCGTCGGTTAGCTTTTACCATTTTTTACCGTCAGATCGAATCAACGCTTTACTCCCTTCTGGTCGAGTTTCGCGTTCGCGAAAAGGATGTTTTTTACCGCCTAAATCTACAAGGATGATGAGGATGGTACTACGAAAACCGCTCTCCGGGAATGTTTTTTTTTTTTTTTTTTTCTTTCTCAAAGCACGAAAGTGCTTCACTCAAAATAAACGGAAATAAATATTTATTCGTATCACTCGAGTGAGCAGCGGAAAAAACACTCCGTATTCTAATCGAGCTGAGAAAGAAAGAAAAAAAAAGAAAAATCTCTCGGTGGCAAATGACCACCCACTCGTCTTCCATTCAACACGTGTGCCAAACAATTGCCAGCAAACAAACATCCTTACTTTTAATCTAGGTGGTATACGAAACGACCAGTATTAAAAAAAGAAATAAAAGAAAAAAACAAGTAAATGTAATGATAATCGTTGTTGAATTTTTGAAACACACGGTAGACCTTTGGATACCGCGATCTTAAATGTTTGTATCGACAGCATTGTTGTTGTAGCGTGATTAGAGTAATGTGTTGAGTGTTGAACATTTTTGCGAGTGCTTCGAGCACGTCGACGGCTACCAGACGGGTCTCTTCACCTTGTTACGCCACTCCTCCCACCGTAATCGCCTATTGTTATTCTCCAATGGTGATCCTCTCGCACGATGATCCTTTCATTGTTTTCTCTTCGGTGATGATACGCACAAGTCGCCCTTCGATTCTTCGTTCTACGCCTTAGGCGAATTGTTTCAAATACAAATACCGTAGCGAGATTTTTCCCGTATGTTATAGCAACGTAGTTGTTCATCTTTATGCTTTGTTATCACGATGTAACACTCGAGATTAAGTGACATTGTCAATGTAATGTAGCCGCGATTGAGTGATATATTTGTGTATCCGGCACAGTCTCGGACAATAATAATAATAGCAAAATATTATGTTACCTCGTACGAATTAGGCTAGCATTTTTCTTTTTTAGCAACTTGTATACCTCATACATTGGTAAATTAAACCAAGGATTCCTCTTGATTCACGATCTGAAAGATCGCAATAAGTTCACCATAGGAGAGTACATGTTCGCCATTTCTTTCACCGCGACTAGAATTCTTAATATATATATTTACACACGACAAAATTGATCGCGCAACAGATTATTTAACGCACCGACGATATCTGCAAAGATATCTGATCGAGTACCAGTCGATCCACGCGCGGGACTAGTGTCTATTATCGACATCGATCCGCCGATATCTTGGCCGCGAATCCACTCCCGACATTTTTGTATCTCGATACGACGCGCCATCGTACACAGCCGCTACTTGTCTTGTCATGTAAAAATACATTACTGTTTCGAAACACACAAACCTCTTTATAATTCCAACATCTCCTAACACGATTAACGGCTCCACGTTCGAAACCTTTTATACACTTGAGCTTTTGCGACAATACGAGCACTAAGGCTTCCAATCGACGGTTACTATTCGACGAAAAATTCATAAAAACGACAAGAGGATGTGCAGTGCACTAATATTTTAAAATGATATCGTGATGTCTCACAGAAACTAACATAATCTTTAATTAACCGTTGTTTAATCATTGCTGTATGATTTAGCTTTAATTCTCATTGTATATGTGTGTACGTATGTATGTGTGTTTGGCGTATAATTTTATTTTCTGCACGAATTAATTAAACGTAACACAAATCCAACAGAACGTGAGAAAATCTGTTGACTCTCTGATAATGGAAATACAGAAGCTATATGAATCTAAATTCCATTATCAAGGAAGGGTTTAATCTTGGCCACTTGTTACTTCTCGGGGAAATTATCCTTCATACATAAGGTAAACTTAATTCGAGTTAATTTCTTATCTCGCGATCCCGCACAAAGTTCTGACTGATATCTAAATGACGACTGGTGCGACACGTTAATTTTCATACTCAACATGACAGAGAATAACGCCAATAAAAGAAGTTGCGTAATATTCTTCTAACCAAACGTTTTAACACGAGCGAACGATCGAACGAGAGACGTCGCCACGTGTTACGACCAACAGTGCGTTCGTTGTTAGCGATGCAATTAGAGACGGCATAACCGAGGGCGGAGGCACCGTGATTCACGGAGGGGAGTAACGAGCGGGAGAGAAAGAGAGAAAACGAACGAAATGACGAGCCGGAGAAACACGGGGTGCGGGAGTCGCGAGACGACAAATAAATGCCAGTCGTCGCCAATCCTCCTCCGCCTGTCATCGGTACGTCACCAATCAGTGCACGTCCGTAGTTTCGCCGCATAGCGACGATCATCGTTCTCTTCCGCGAGATAAGCGTCTTGTTCGCGATTCGGCGAGTGCATCCGTCTCACCCGCTCGTACACTAAGCTTCAATAAAGTCTCTTATCATTCACTCGACCAAAATCTATCACCCTCTCGAATGCTTCCATCGTGTTTGAATATATGCACAAATTATGTCACTCTTGTTGATTTGGCTAATCTGTCTGACAACTTGACAAATATCCCGTCACTTCCTATCTTATAGCATCCATCTTATAGCAACATGAAATGGATTTGAAGAATAGCTTTTGAACCGGTGAATGTTAATGTTCTGTTCAAGCTTGGTGTACAGAGATTGGTACAATAGCCTTAATACTTGTATTATTAAGAATTGTTACGATTTTCAACCATATCCTTCAACCATAACACATATACACGCAGATTGAAAATCGTAACCACCACGTGTGTTGAGGCTTGCTCACCACTCTGTGTGCACGGAGGAGAAGAGTGCTTCTCGAAAGAGAGAGATAGAGAAGAGAGAGAACGCTTTTGGCTGACGCGTACGTGCCGATGCGTGCATTGCGTGACACGCGCTTCGATCGCAATCGTCGTGGACTATGCGCCGCTCGAAAATCGATCGCGTTAGCAGCATGTTGCCCATTTGCCGCAATTAACGAGGACCGGCGAGGACATCATTGCCGCTTATACTTGACCGGACATCAAAACACATCGCCATCGCATCGTGTTTATTCGTTAGGCGATGAAGAAAAAAATATTGACGATACTGAAACATTACATAAAAACAGAAAAGAAAGCCTTTGGAAGAAAGAAATTGCTTGCAAATTTTGCAATAACTTAAAGTACAATCGCAAGCTCCGCGACACTGTGGCGAGTGTAAGCGTCAGTGTTATCTCTGTAATTTCGTTGTGTATCGGTCGGCTGCGAGCGGTACGATAATGACACGTTATTTGCGAGTAGCGAATAGAATTATCGAGATACAACACGCTTGTATAAAGACTATTTTAGAACGTCGCCTCCCCCACCCGATGCATTAAACACCGCCGACGAGCTCTCGTCATCGTCGAAGGGTCGTGGCACTTATAAATTATCCACAATCAGCAAAATCAGATCTCCTGTGAATTTATTTATATTCATAGCGTTACACGATTGCTCCACTCTCGAGCGCGCTTTATTACCTCTTAGTACACATTCATAATTTACCTGTCGTGTCATACGATCGATCGATCCGCTAAAGAGATACGCCGGCGAACAACGTGTAATGTCACATCTGCTGCCCGGCGATTCGCGAAGGCAACGCGAAGTCCGCTTGAATTTGCATGCATGGCCTGATACGTCGACTCGTCGCGCGACGTCAATTCTGTCTACCGTCGAGACTCATCCCGTTATTTAATTCGTCCTTCAGGATCAGGCTGAGACGATGGGATACGGACCTCCGGGCAACATCCAGATCTCTCTAGCCAACGGGAACATCATGAAGATCCCGCTGGCGAGCATCAACATCAGCGAGGAGGTGAACAAGACCGGCATCTGGCAGCAAGTCAACGAGGGCAACGAGAAGTCGAAGCAGTCCAAGTCACTCATTAAGTATGTGTCAAATTTCGACTGAGCGTCAGTCACGTCGAGCTTTATCAGAATAATTTCTGATCGATACAACTTGTCAGTGTAACTCGAATATTTAATTTTCAGCGAATGTCACGCAGAAACTAAAAACAAAAATGTTGCATGTAAAAGTCACGTGGTATTTTATATTCCATGATATTCGTTGGAAATTAAATGCATATGTTGCATCCGACGGGTGCAAGTACGCACATAAGGAATATTTATTTTTTGCTGATGCGCGACATATCCGTTCGACAACGTTCAAATCGCTGAAATCAGTGGGAAAATTCTACTCGCGACATTCCCTTGACATTGATTGAACTCCTCCGACGAGGAGGAGCAAATGAGTAAAATTGTCAGCAAATGAGTAAAATTTGTTCGATGCACAGTATGGGGAAACAAAAGAAGCACACAAAGAAGGACAATTCGTTGCTAGCCGACGAGACGACGAGGCTGACGACGATGACCGAGGAGGACGAGGATGACAGTGGGATCTCGATCAAGGTGACAAACGTAAATGACTCTAAATTCTAACTACCATCACCATCACCAAATCGACAATTCATATGGCAAGACACACAGCAAGAGCACCTATACACCGGCATGCAACATACTACCCCATGCACCACCGCTGTGAGTAAATTTACAAGCGAGGAGCGGCATGAGACGGCCCTCGTCGAGTCGTCGTTAAAACGAACTTAGACGCGGACGACTCGTCGCAGAGTACGCGGACTTTCACGGACGACGACGGGCACGGCGTTCTTTTCTTCTTTTTTTTATATCGTGTAACGGATACTTTTACCAAGCGATTTCACTTTGTCTCACTAAGTCACCCGCAAGTCTGCGAGAATCGCGCGAGATACTTGAAGAGACCGTCGGTCGATGAAAAGATGATTCATCAAGAATCGTTTTTGTTGTCGTTACTATAAGTTTTCGTCTCCCGATTTCCTCACCGCCACGCCACCGTCCGTGAGAAATTCGGCTCTGCAGCTCGTGCTTGCACTCTTAGAGATATCGCATGTTGCTCTTCGTTGCTTTCTACGCAACGAAGCAGTTGAATACGTTGATGATGAATTGATCGAGAAGACGTTACATGCGAGTCTGGCCCGTTGCGTCCACTTGTGTTTCTCACATGCGTCTCACGTGTGCGTCCTCGTGTATGGAGTAGTTGATACGAGAACTGACTGTGTGGATCGTTGTAGAAATAGAAATGCTAATCGTGCATCGTAGCCGATCGTAAGGTGCAAACTTTGGGAAGAAACAGACTGATATAACGTTTTCTCTCGAACGAGTCCGAATGAAGCGGAACGGAGAAACATTTAGTCGCATGTTCCTTTCTTATGTAGTACTTTTTGATTTTTATATCGCTGCATGAGCATTGAGAGATTCGCTTCCTTTGTTGACTTGAGGTATCAAGAAATCAAGCGCAAGTGGAAAGAGCAAATTTTCTCTTTTCCGTCTTTTTTTCTTTTTTTTGATGCGTTATTATTAAAACTGCCGCTGGTAATTCTGAGACACTCTGTATATCGCGTACGAGGATATCATATACTGACTCATCGTCTGTAAAGATTTACTTGAGACAAGCGTATTACGGGATATATTTCTTGTCGCACACAACGTGCCTCACACTTTCCATACATGTTTCAGAATCGCGCGAGCCAGTACTTAATTAGTCAACAAAATTCACAGAGGCGCGAACTTACAACGTCATAATTTTCCACGAAATGCTGATGACCCAACGCGGTCATTCATCCCGTTGGGGGAATTTGAGGGGAACCACGCGCACCACGAAGCGAGCTCCGTCGAATATCAATTGAAAGTTAACGAGTGATTCAATTGGACTATTTCAGGTAGATTTAATACGGTCCAAGGAAAGCATCAGTCCCTTGAAAGCGAATGGCACTACCTCAGCCGAAACTTCCGTTTAACATGAAGACCGAAGCGGCACCGAGCGCACGTTCACGCGACACGCAGGCTTCTTTGATCGATCGTCCCGAGACTTTCATCTATTTCGTTCCCTCCTCTGTAATTCGCGTCCGTTTCTTCTTCTCGGATCTCTCGCGAGTCGCCCAATAAGCTGTCGCGTTGTTACCGAGGCTTTCGTTCTTATTCGAGAAGCAACGCCACATTCACTCACTGTCTCATTTCGCGATTACTCTTGATTGTATTATATTTGTACTATACTTGCCGATCTCGATCGCGCGACCCTAGAATTTATACTCGACCGTAAACGACAGTCATCCATGCACAGAGAGAGAGTCCCGACGTGTCTGTACATATAGGTGCGTTTCGCTTCAGGATTCTCGCCAGTTAGTGTCCCGATCGTGTAACTTCACGAAGACTCTTCTCTCATCCCCGTGAAAGTGCACGAGAGACGCGCAAGCAAACGTAGTGTAGAAGCGGGAAAGAAACGGTATTTGTACATCTGTATTTTGTTGGCTTTGCCGGCGCGCGAATCGAGGGGATATCGACGATAGAAAGAGAGAAGGAGCGAGAGAAGAGGAGGATTCCAAACGTCGTAACGGAGACGTACGGTAGTTACATAGTAGTTTTTACATGCTAGTGACGACGGAAAAGAAAGTATGGTAAATTATAAGAATTTCATACATACACACACACACACACAAAACACACACGTACCCACTCCATTAAACTCCACTGCATTTCGATCGAACGATCGAAATGCGAATCAGCAAGAGCCGTGGTGTTTATTACGAGTCGTTAGGGATATCTCCACGCTGAAACTCGTGAAAAGCGCACATTTTTCCAAATCGTGAGCGACACCAAAGGGACAAAGAGGAGAATACACCGATACATACGTCGTATTTATAAAATATGTATGCGCTTGAATGTAAAATCGCGATCAAATGCGCGTCAGAATTTGAATTTTCGGAATTGCACAATGACTTTTCAAGACTCTTGGGAAGTTAGTCGAGCTTCAACGTATTCGACGCATGGGAAAGGACAATATCGGTTTGTGTAACTGAATAGATTCGGTCGCGGAAAACGAGATATCTCCGCTTCCGCGAGCGGAAACATTCGTCTGGACGTTCAGCTGTGTAAAACTCGGTTGAAATAAGTGACGACGAATGATTGAGTAGAAACAGGAATTCTTCCGTTTTTACAACCGAATACTCCATATGCTCTCTATTCTTCTTAGACGATTCAGGCGGATGCAGTTACACCAACAGAGTCGCCTTTTCCGTGTGTGCGATGTTCCGTTCTCAATATTTCAACGTGATAGTTTTGCGCGTTGCACTGTACGCGAACACGAGTCGCAGGAGGGAGGGAGGGAGGGAGGGAGGGAAGGAGGGAAAAAAGTGAGAGATCGAATGTATCGTTTTGCCGTGCGGTGCGACGCGCGATCCTGCGCGCGCGTGTAGCGATTAAGTAGCTGAAACATGTCTATAATTATAGTATGCCAAAGAAACCCCGTAATCTATATATGTACCAACGCTTCCTTCGAGGGATATCTCGCGGGTCAGCGAGCAAACGATTCTCGAACGTGGAGCGGATTCTCTCCGCGAATAATGTTCGCGAAGTAGGGAGAACGCTCGTTGGGGAAAACGCGATCGAAAAACTTGGACTCGTCTCAGAAGAGTTCGTCTCTCTTCTCGACGTGCTGCTGCTCTCCACGACGACGAGGATCGATTCTCGAGGACATTCGACAAAAAGTATCTTGTAGCACGGCGCATCGTTCGTTTGGTTGTTTGTTGCCGAAAATTCCGCACCGGCTGAAAGTCTCTTGCGCGAGAGCTGAACATCGGAATTCTATTTTCGTAAATCTTTTGATATCTGGACATGTCCAACTAGCCATCAGCGACAATATCGACGTATTCTAATTATAGTGAAATTAGTTTGCCCCCTCCCTCCGTCCCACCGCAGGATTCGCGACGAAAATTCTCCGTGCCGCGGTGAGGTACGACGCGCAACGTGCTTTTTTATAACGCAGTCCCTTGAAGGATAACCGATCTCGTTTGTGATTAGAGAGAGATGATGTACATCGTGTCGGTTCGTATAGTCCGCGGTGTGTGCAGTAGCTAATCGTTTACGACAGTTTACGCATACAATTAATATTCTGTTGAGCGACAGCATTGAGACGCATCCACGTGCGAAACCAGATCTAGTCGATCGAGCAAGAGTCGCTGGCTTTTATTTGCCTCTCAAGGGAAAACGATTTTCGCAGCTTCGATCACGCATCGCGAAACAGATACTTTATCACGCCGTACGCTCAATTCATGTCACACACGTCAGTTTATCGCGAATAACAAGTCCGGATGCAATTTCCGTAATAACGCAGACGAGACCAATTACGATTCGTTGCGAGTCAGTTCAGTGCAACGTTACGTATAAAATAACGTGAGTAATGCAACTGCAGAAGTTGCCAGAAGTCGACAGAATGTTAACAAGTGCGCCAAGCAGGAAAATCGTCGATCCCTTTTCTCAAATAACCCGCGACACGGGCCGATAATTAAGATTTTCATTGCGTTCAAAAGAGTCAGCCTCCCCGACTTAGCTAGTCGGCCGATCGGTCAATCAATCAAGACACAATCATTCTCGCGTGAAATCTCCACGAAATTGGATAAGCTAGCTAGCCGGGAGAAGGAATAACGTTCTGCGCGATATATATTTTTTTACACGGACAGTTTGGCAAAAAGTGCATTTCAACTCGACGCGAAGCCGACGCGAGAGAGTCATGTGTTACGATACGCGCGGTACATTCGACACGCAGGAGTGCTCAAAGGGAGAAGACCTATAGTTAAAATCAATATCACGTAAACATTTGTATCTCGCTGGAAAGTATAATCGTGCGTATCGCGTACTTCTTAGATATATGCATATATTTTTAAGCGGCGGACGAGAAAACGTGCGCGCTCTCGCGTATCCGCCGAAAGAGGCGAGCCGCGTAAAATTGCGGAAAAGCGTCCGATGTCAATGAGACCGGCGCGAGTCGTGTCGTTTGTTAACCGAGTGAACCAGAACGAATCCGGAAAGCGTGGCGTGCGACCTTCGCGACGCGGGTGCGAACGTGCGAGAAGAAATATTAAAATTGACCGTTAATGTGTAAAAAATAAAATAAAATTATGTTGTCAAAAACAGATGTATATGCGCGACATGTATGTGTGTGTGTTTGCGCGCGTGCATGCGTATGTTGAGTCCGTATCAGATCAGGTGAAGCTCATGGTCAGACTAGATATCGGAGATATTGGGAACCGCGAGTCGAAGACTGGAAACTTGATCAGTCGGATAGAAGCGAGTTAACATCCAATACGCGAGTAAAACAAGTCGCGCGACTAGGCTGACGACGAAAACGTCGATTGAGATTCGCCGAGTTCTAATCTCTAGTTTGCAATCCTCAATCTGATATGAACTTAACGCAGGCGAGATCACAAAGCGACGGACGGATTACAATCGCCGACGTTAGTATTAACTGGTTGTGACTAGCTAGAGAAGAGAAGTCGTCTCGGGAGCGAGTCGCCGAGCCGACGTGGAAAGTAGCTGAACACCTTTCGTGCACCTCTGAATCATGTAATCTTCAGTCGGACGAGCGATCCGAATCGAGACGGAGTTGCTTGAGAAAGTGACGCTTAGAAACGTGAGCCTACACTATAGCCGGATGGGACCGCGGACTCGAGGAGAACGAACCTTCTGCGCGCACCTGGACAGTATCAGTCGCAGACAGCTCATAAGGACGATCGCTCGATGACGAAGATGCGCGTTCGCACGATGGAGCATGTCGACGAGAGGCCTCGTCGAGGCAACGTGACAGCGAGTGAGTGTGATTCAAGATGTAAAAGGGCTGATTACGAAGATTACATCCAGGGGGCTGAATATGGCGAACAATGTGAACGACGGAGCATTAAAGTTCGTATTAGAAATTTGTACTAGAATTCCATTCTGTCTCGTTGTACTCTGTAGTGTCGGGTACCGTTCAGCTTTAGTTAATACACATGATGTATGATTAATAAATTAATTGATAATTATATGTAATTTATGTAAGTTAGATTGTTCTCACACTCTTAATTTTGTTCAGTCCTGAAAAAAACCCGGAAGAAATATTCTTTCAGTTTTGATTATTTATAGAGGGCGAGCGAATTGAAATACGACGTTTGTTAACAAAGAAATAGGAAATTTAGAATTTTCTCTTTAAAATGTATGCCAATCCAATTTTTCCTTCAAATAACATTTCCTTGTAAAACTTTAATGATATGACATTGAAGATTGTATGGTCGTCACTTTTCGTTTAACTTTATGTTAAATTATCTTTTAGCAAACAACGAGGGAAAAATTTAGTATTCATATGGTTAAAAACTAAAGATTTTAAGCTACATAATGCCTTCTGGACTATTTCGATATTTTCAATTTTGCCGTAATTACATCTCGTTGAATTTTGTCTATTTTTTATTTCGGAAATAAAAAAAATATATACCAGGGTGAGATTTCACCCATGACAACACCAGTGTGATTTTCTTTGATGCTTTTTTTAAAAGTTCAGATATTTCGTCGACTCGTGGGATATTTATAATCGGAGTCTCGTCGCGTTAATTAACACGTGCTCCTCCGAGCGGATCGAGTGCTCACCAGACAGCGACGGCCACTGTCAGTGCCACGAGCGAATGTCTGGAGCGGACGGGATGCTGAATGCAAGAAGCAGGACGAAGGGAACGGGACGCGGGCAACGATACATCATGCGTTTCTAGACGTGTCAAATCGTTTATTATACAGGAGACTTTGATACGGCAACATGTATTCGAAGATTTAATATTTAATACGTACTTTTATTTTTCCTACTTCTCGCCCCCTCACCCTCCTCCTGCTCTTTTTAGACCACCCGGCATAGTCTGGCATGGAGATGGTTGCAGCACGGACATAAACCGCCTGAAAGTGGATGTAGCAGGTAGCACGGACTTCCAGCACATGCAGATTTTATCACCGAGACCTGAAAGTGGATGTAGCATCGTAGTTCCCCTCAAAATAGATGCAGATCCTTTTCCAATGCGAAATATCGGTGTCACATAAAATGCCGTGTTAGCCGCTCTCAAATTTCACATTTTAAAAGGTATTACTTGATACAATTTGACAAATTTCATAAAAAAATGTTGACATTGATGGATCTCAATTTATATACGTGACACGGTAGGAAATAAATTAATTATACACTATATAATACACTTAAAAATAAGAAACAAAGATTTTAAAATATATGCTTTCTGATCCATCTCATTATTGCCAATTTTGTCAAAGTTACAAATCGTTGGAACTTGAAAATTTAATTAAAAAGAATGACTTGCTAATTTCATATAGATGTATCTATATTTTTTCTTTCATATATATTCGTATCTATTTATTAATCGAAATACAAGAATGAAAATATTGGTAAAGAAATATGTTTCTCAGTTTTCGTTGCTTTACGATATATCCAAAGTTCATCAACGAGCACCTCCAGAACTTTCCTCGTAAAATCCAAATGTAAGGATCATTCGTCATATCATATAATGCTACAATCCTTATTAATCTTTATTCGTCTGTATTTGGCAAGTTTTCCTGCGTACAATTGCAGGAACTATTCGGCGAATTTCCCAACTGAAATTGCACAAGTATCACCAGATACGTCGTCACCGCTCCCATCATCTGACAAACAAAAATGTTACAGACAGATTGTAAGCAATTTTAACGTGCCGCAATGTTCACATTACGATTTGCCGCAGCAAGGTTCAAGCTACTCCAATTGTTCTCACCGAATGGAAGAGAGTGTTATCGAGCGTAAAGTACCCGCTGGCCGTAAAGTGTATCTTGCGGTGCAGCAACTGAAGCGAAAATTGCTTGAGCTGCAACAAATTTCTTCGATAAATGTCATTGCGACGCAATTGACGAAGAGAATCTTCTGAAAGGAACTTCCGGTACCTCCGACTTCACCAAATTGCCGATCGTGCAGCTCAAGAGTTTATGTATCACATTGCCTGTTTTCCCAATCTATAATGAACCGAAGCTTGAAATTGAAACGTGCGATTTTACAGAATTAAACTGATCCGTTTCTTGCGTTTTCCAGCAAATCGCTAGGATCAGCTTTCCTACCTCATACAAAATCCAGGTGATCTTGTTCGTGAGAAGAATAATGGGATAAATCAAGAATAACATCCAGAGAATGGTGTTGGCCAAGACTATGTACTCCAGGACCTCGTTGCTCAACACCAAGGGCGACAACAGATAGTAGCCGTTGTACACGAGCGAAAAGAACATGTAAGAGATACCGAACACTATCGGCGCCGAATAAAAGTTCGAGACGTCCTGCGAGACTTCGCAAAGGTGACAGTGCACGTCCCGTAGCTGCAGCAGCTGTTGAACGATGGAATTGCTGACGATGACGCGACGAGTCTGATACAAGGACTGCGGCCGAGAATCCGGCGTATTGACCCTCGAGAGACCCTGTATCGCCTGATTCACGTCGGCAAAGTCCACTTGGATGACGCTCACCAGTAAGAAGTACTGGATCATGAACCATCCTATGTGGAAAGAGGGCACGATGTCTGTCAGCCAGGAGATCGGGCTAGCATAGAAAGCGAAGTATTTGGTGGCCAGGACCGCCATCGCCGTGCTACCTTCCAGGACACAGATGATCGCCACGATACGGAATACGCGCCCTCGTCGCAGCGAAGGACACAGACGGTAAAGCCGGTCGAGCTCGTGCTCGACGTTCATCAATCGGTTGGCGATTCGCACGAGGGACCTCTCGCCGAAGCAATAGCTGAACAAAATCACGCAGATCGCCATGCTGCCGAGTACAGTCTGGAAAGCCTCGATACCTACGGTCATGTTCGTCTTGTTGGGATATTCCACGTTGATCGTGTATGGTACCGACAAATAGTTAGAAGCGATCATCAGACTGATCAGCACAGCGTTGTAGACGATGCCCAGTTCGGAGTACTGAAATGTACAAATCGTCTGGGGACTTTTCTTTTTCTGCTCGGCGACGCAATGAGTGAAGGTCGCGAGACCGATCATCTTGAAGAATATCAATAATGTCCGAAATGCCCATAGGGAGTGTTGATGCGACTGCGACTGCGACTTGATCCTCGTCATCCTTCGCTTGCTGAATTTCCCCGTAATGATGCCCGCTTCTTCTAAGTTGCCGAAAATATTGGAAATCCTGTAGGCATCCATGAAGACTAAATGTTCGACCGAACGGGAAGCATCCTCGCCATTCATTATTTTCTTCGGTAAATTAATCTGAAGATGACATTTGACTTCTTCCTGCCATACATCTTCAACTCGCGACGATTCACGGTACTTCTCATAATTTCAAGATATCTTTCATTCTTTTAATCATTTAAATATATATAATTTCTCGATGTGAAGCTAATATAATTATTGCTTTCCAGATGTCTCTCCCCGTTCGCTGCGGGAACCAGCAAATTGGCCAATTAATTCCCAACCATTCGGGCATTGCACACACGCAGTCACGTTGCCGACGAAGAGCTTACATTACGTCCGAATCTACGTCGCACTTCCTTCGTGTGAGACGGCACTGAGCACACGCAGAGGAAGACTTTTTTGCAAAGGTCGCTCTCGCGCATTGTGTATGCAGAACATTATCAAATATTAATTCTACGAGAGTCATATGCGACGCCCTTGGAACTAATAGAAATCATAAGTTCAGTGTTGCCTGCGATGATACCGAAGCCGCGATGAAATTGTCGATCGCAGGCTGACAGACGAGTTGTGTCACACGCTATTAGTGCGTGGCATCCGCTGAAGCCTAGTGGAATATTAATAACTCCTACATGATACGCGACGCGATATGAGAACACGCTGTTCGTGTCGCATCTTCAGCTATCATGCCTCTCCGACTTCGTGACGTTGAGTAGATTATCAGTAACTAAAAAGTTCACGAGCGGGACTCGAAAGTAGTCCTCCTCCTATTTGCGCCACATGTGCGATCGCGCCACATATCGCCGGCGACGTTTTTGCTCATCAAGTCGTGTGGTCGTTCTCTTTCTCTCTCTCTCTCTCTCTCTCTCTCTCTCTCTCTCTCTCTCTCTCTCTCTCTCTCTCTCTCTCTCTCTCTCTCTTTATCTTTCTCCCTCGGGGAAGACGTAAAACACTCACCTATGTCGAACGTATGAAATTCTCTCGCGTCTCTAATGAGACGTACCATCGCTAGAATAAACGCGTATGCGCCGCGGGGAACGATGTTTTGCCGCTACATAGTATGCCCTTTTTATTGTCAAAGATAACACACTTGTCTAGCAAATTATCTGATTTAACGTCGCACTCGGCGCAGATCGAAGAGCATGAAACTTACATGCGCAACATTGTTTGATGATGGGAAGAAGGCGACATTGTGTAAAATCAAACAAACCGCGCGAGTGTCTCATTATTTTCCCGTTCAAAATATTCATGATATGCGTTTAAGCGAGCAGAAGACCTATATTTGCGTTAATGACAACGATACACTATCTAACGAGGATCGTGTGTACAATGTATTGTACAATGTGTGTACAATACTTCATTTCGCGTGCATACTGCTTTCTATCAATACATTTGACGATATAAAATCACTCGTACAATTTACTTTGTCCTTCACAAACATGCGATTTTATTAACAAGATTATTATTATTATAAAGACTTACCCCTCCTCCCTTTTTCAATATGCATTTACAAAATTATCGCTAACTTATAATTAATATATATTTAATTGTAACGTAATCTATAATTCTGTTATATTTACTATAATTGTAATACTCTTTCCGTTATATATTAGGTGTATAAATTAATTCTCGGCCCTTACATTAAATCGATTAGAGCACCTGTTCAAATTGAATTTATATATATATATGTATATTACCAAAAATTTATTCCCAGTGTAAAATATAATCAACGTCATAACGTAAGGTAAACGTAAGGTGTGCTAGGGCAGTTTCAGTATTGACGAAATTTCTTGACTGAAATCTGAATATAAAGTATTGAACATTACGTCATCAAGCAGTTTGTTGATACTTCCTCCTATGTGAATGTACTATGTGAATAATATTGATTAAAAACACAAATGTAATACTTACAAATCATAATATGATTACCGTAATTGTCTCAAATAAAGGTACGATAATGTCCAACAGTTATTGTTTGATAACTTTCTTAATTTGCACGACTTTGTTACTTTCTCATGAGCATTTCACGAAATTTTAATGTAGTCTTTTGTCTACTCTGTGTCCCGGCTTTCGTCCAGAAATAGCCTGTAACAAGTGTCAAAAATCAGACAAAGTAACAGTGAAGAAATATCTTGTATCGATGTCGATCGTCGCAAATGAAATAAAAAATAACTAATTGATGAAAAAATGATTTTCGTCCTTACAAAAATTTTGTAATGTGTAAAAATAATGAGGATATGATTAAATAAGTGAAATTTCTTAAAAATCTAAGCGCTTGGTTGTAAAGTACGTCATTAAATACCATAAAATCGTTGAAATATTTTCCACATCCCACGATTAGTTCCGGAGGTCTGTTTCAAGTCTTAAACATGCGAGTAAACATTTATAAAAAGACACATCCAAAGCAAATCGAATCGATGAAGGACACTTCCACATAATTCCTTGTGTCAGCCGAATTCAAGGATCGTCCGCAGCACATCGTTATACTCATTATTAATTTTCATTCCATTATTCGTTCATGTTTGGCACATGTTGCTGCGTACAATTACGAGACGATTTCGACATGCTTCCCATTTGAAATTGCGCTAGTATCACTAGATACGTCGTTACCGCACTCATCATCTGATAAACAAAAGCATTTTTAACATACTGAAACGTTCGACATAATTTAGACGTGTAGATCTCCTTAAGAAAATAATGAGTAAATTAATCTACTTGATTAATCTACTATATTGAAACGATTACTGACACTTTTACGCGTGTAATCACGAATGTTTCTTGCTTTGAACTGTCTTCGATAAAATTAAATATCTCAAACTTCTTTATTACACCGTAAAAGTTTCGAAACGTTCGTCTTACGAGAAATCGTAGCAAGTAGATAAATAATGACTGGCAAGAATAAAACGCTGTTAATAATTTGCATGTACGTAATTTGATTAAGAAAACATTGCATATAATTTGACTAAGGAAACATTTATTTACACTTTCATATAATAACGAACGCTTCGATTCTCACCTTGAACCCTTTTCAGTGTAATGAAAAACTCTGAAATGGATATAACTGAGACAGATAAACTCAAGCTTGGCTTCACACGTTATTTAATAAGCTCCGTAACGTTCGTCCTAATCAAATTATATCTCAGGCGAGGAAATTCAAGACTTCTTACCGAATGGAAGAGAGTGTTATCGAGTGCAAAGTATCCGTTAGCTGTAAAGTATACCCTGCGGTGCAACAATTGAAGTGAGATCTGCTGAAGCTGCGACAGAGAGCACAGTAAGTATTCAATACGCGGTCACACCTTCGTTGAAGGATTCTCGAGTGTGAGATTTACCTCGAATTTCACCTCCGTGTCGACCATGCAATTCATTAGATTGTTTACCGCACTGCCTGTTTTTGTCATCTGCAAGAAAATTTGCGATCTTGAAATGAGACGTCGCGCGATTTCACAGAATTAATTCGATTGTCGTTTTCCAGTGAATCGACGAAGTCGGCTTGTCGGATTATCCTACCTCGTTCAAAAGCTTGGTGATGCTGTTGGTGAGGAGGAGAATGGGACAAGTTAGGAATATCAACCAGAAAACAGTGTCGGCCAAGACTTTGTACTCCAAGACCTCGTCGCTCAGCAACAGAGGTGATATGAGGTAGTACCCGTTGTACACGAGCGAGAAGAATATATAGAAGATGGCGAAGAGCACGGATACCGAGTAGAAGTCCGACACGTTCTGGGAAACGTCGCAGAGGTGAGCATGGACGTCTCGCAGCTCCAGCAGCTTGTGAACAGTGGTGTTGCCGACGACGACGCGACGACCGTGATACAAGGATTGCGGCTGAAGATCCGGGCTGCCGATCCCGGCTAGGCACTGTATAGCACGATTCACATCGGCGAAGCTCGCCTGGATCACGCTTACCAGCAGGAAGTACTGGATCATGTGCCACCCCAAGTGGAACGTCGGCACGATATCCGTCAGCCAGGAGGTCGGAGTCGGGTGGAAGGCGAAGTATTCTGCGATCAAGAGCGTCACCGCCATACTGCTATTGAAGATGCACGCGATCGTCAGGCCATGGAAGACGCGCTGTCGACGCAGCGAAGGGTACAGACGATAGAGACGGTCCAGCTCGTGCTCGACGTCCGTCAGTCGGTTGCCTATCCGGATCAGGGTCTTCTCCCCGAAGCAGTAAGCGAGTAAAACCGCGCTGATCGACATGCTGCCGAGCACAGTCTGGAAGATCTCGATGCCTACAGTCATGTTCGTTTTGCTAGGGTAGTCGAGGCTGATGCTATACGGTATCGACAGGCAGTTCGAAGCGATGATCAGGCTGGCGAGCACGACGTTATAAGCGATACCCAGCTCGGAGTACTGAAACACGCACGCTGTCTGCGGGTTTCTCCTCTTCGACCCGGCGGCACGGTGTGTGAAGGTCGCGAGACCGATGACCTTGAAGAATATTATCAACGCCCGGAGCGCCCAAGAGTCCTGATGCAGCCGTGATTTGACCCTCATCGCCTTCTGTTTGTTCACCTTCTCCACAACGAAGCCGATCTTGCCGAGTTTCCCGAAGATATTGAGGAACCTGTCGGGGCATTCATAAAGACTGAAGTATTCCGACAGACTAGAAGCCTCTTCGCAATGTTTATTATCGTTTTCTTCGAAAAATGAATCTAAACGTGATATCTAACTCATTTCTATCGTACCTCATCATATCGCGCGCATATGTGCTTCCTTCCATAATCTCGAAATACTTTCCACAATTTCGCTGAGTGCATATGCGAGTTCTCGATGAGATTGCGTAATTAATACTTTCTTTAAATATCTGTCTCCTCCCTCTCTCTCTCTCTCTCTCTCTCTCTCTCTCTCTCTCTCTCTCTCTCTCTCCCTCCCTCCCTCTCTCTTTCTCTCAGCTTGTCGCGAGAATTAGATTAATTCAGAAACTGATTCGCTGAATTCCTCGGATTTTATATGCGCACGGTCACGATTTCGCGATAGGCTGGAATCTACGTTGCGCTTCATTCATACGAAGTAGCACTGAATGCAAACAGCGAAAGACTTTCACAAATGTCGTTCTCGCGGGCGCGCATCGTGTGTGGAAAACACGATTAAATATTAACTCCGTGATAGTCGTGGGCGGCGCCCTTGGGCGCCCCGACAGAAATCGTAAGGTCAACTCTGTTGCATGCGCCGGTACCGATCCTGCGATTAAATTGTCGATTACCGGTTAACATGCACATTGTGTCACACGCTGTTAGTGGCGCGCATTAAAGTCTACTAGAATATTTATAAACCGCACGTGGCATAACACACATCAGTATACGCTGTAATACTGGTTACATTACCAGCAATTAACGAGTCTTCGAGCATGACACGAAAATAGTCCTTATTCTTAATAGCCGCGTTCTCTCGACAACGAAGTTTGTCTTCGTTAAGTTGAACCTTCGACCTGCGCCCTTTTGTGTCAGGAAACTGCACTCGACACAGGAAACTCGACAACGATTTTACTCGACCTCAGCTTCGTCGTAGACTCACATCGCGAGGGTTTCCAGAAGTCGAGTCGGGCTTTTATTCGGTGCTGATATGGTTCGCCAGCTCATGTTCTTTTCACTCGTGCATAGCAGCTACAACCTTCTATCGTCTATCGTCTATGTTGTTGAAGTCATGAAACACACGACATCGTCTTCTAACTGATGTATCCTGTTCTTCCTCTCACTAGTTGCATCACCAAGTCGAGAAATCAGATTAATCTTATGAGATGTAAAATTTCATTTAAAAATCATGAATTTCTTATACCTACAGAGAACAAACAGTACGATAAATAAACTGATGAATTTGAGTACAATCAGAGAGCAAGGAAACGAGGTGCGAGGTAATGTAAACTCGAGATTCTTTCAACGATTAATCGAGTTCTCGGTTATTTGCCGCAGATCCGTTGTACCTTCAGCAGATTTTGTTGCATCGTAGAATATCCGACTTGGTATGATTCATAATCTAATAATATCCTACGTGACAATCGTAATATACATCGTAAATGTATAATATCCATAATACATATCTAGTATCGCACATATATAAAATGTATGTTCTCACTGTCAATGCGACACTCTATCGCTACGATAGGCATGTAGGCTCATATGCGTTGGGAGGACATTTACTATTCCTGATAATAGTGTTTGATCCTTGATTCTTTCGTTTATTAAGTTAAATTTTTTACTTGAACCTTTCTTTTTCAGGAGACACGCAAAACATATTTAATACTATCGAACACAGAAAATATTCTTTATAGTATCAGATACATTTTCTTGCTCTTAATGGAACATGCTAGTGACTAAAAGAGATATGTATTAAAACAGATACTCATGCATCGTAGGGAACATTTTTTCTACTACATTATTGCTGCTGAGATGTTACTTTTTTATTGTCAAGATAACATTCAGCTGACTCATAATCTGATTGAGCATCGTACAACTGTTTTTCGACGATGTTTTATCATTTATGGCGTAAACAATATCACACATCTTAAATTTCACGTTCTATATATCAGAATCCACTCGTGATATAATTTTACTGCCTTTTTCTGTTGCTTTATGTTTATAAATAATAATAATAATAATAATAATAATAGTAAGCAATTTAATTTGTAATTTTTGACAAGAAAATTATATAACATGATTAAAGTTGTGATACATCAACATTCGTTGCGTGATAAATTTTAGCTATGTATTAAAGTTTTCGATATATAAATGCTATTAAATCGGAAGAGATGTAATTAAATCAGAACGAAATCAGATTTGTGCCATTCCATCAATCTACGCTTCATGTCTGTAAATTGAAGATAATGTAATTTAAGTATGTAACAATGTTTATACCGTCAAATCGTTGAAAAATCCGATAGCCTGTGCGAAGCACGAGCTATAATTTTTAAACATATAATTTGAATTAATATAATATATTTCATATTATACTATACGTAATACGTATGCAGACTTTTATCCTTACAGAGATGTAATTTTATTAACAATATTACTATTACAAAGTTTTATTCTTTTATCGATATGCGATTATAAAATTACAATTATCCTATGATTACTAAATATACATATTTAACTATAATTTAATCTAATTCCATTAGATTTAATATAATCGTAATATATATTTATAATATATTTTCCAGTTATATGTTTATGAACATGTACGTTTATAAGAAATTTACTCTTTACATACAATGTAATCGACATTGTAATGTGCACCACGGCAGTTTATTTTATTTTGGGACGAAATGGTCTCGATACAAACATTACGTCATCGAATAATTCTGATACTTTTGCCGATACACTTAGTAAGTAGTATTTCAATTAAAAAATAAAGTACGATATTTGTCAATTATAAACTATTTACAGCAATCGTCATATCACCACATAATTTCCAAAAATCATCATTTATTAATTTGTCTAATTTGTACGATTTTGATACTTTTCCACCAGCACTTTATAATCCGAGTGTATTAATGATTGATTTGATGAAATAACTCATATTGAGCATATTTAACTAATATATTGCATATCATAAATGTTTGGTAAAATGTTAGTGAAGAAAAAAGATATTTTATGATATTTTTAATATTATCGTAACTTATCATTCTTAAGTTTTGCTTATTACATGAAAAACAACTTTTCTCTCTTATTTCATCACATTTTCTCTCAATGGCAATATAATATTAATAATCTTGTGTCACATACTACACACACACACACACACACACACACACACGCACGCACGCACGCACGCACGCACGCACGCACGCATGCACGCACGCACGCACGCACGCACGCACACACACACACACACACACACACACACACACACACACACCACACACACACACACACACACACACACCCACCCACCCACCCACCCACACCCACACCCCCACACCCACATACATACATGTGTGTATGTAATATTATATTATATAATATTAATTCTGTCACACATATTACACACATATATATATATATATATATATATGAGATATAATATATCATATATTATATAATACTACACACACGCACCTATCCACACACTCATATATATATATATATATATATATATATATATATATATATATATATATATTATATAATAGGATAATTTGATGTAATATTACATAAGGAAGATATTGGAGTTAACGAGCCAGCTAATGAATTGTTTTGATCTATCATTCGTTTCGATGACAGCAAATATTATATCAAGTGATAAGTTTATTGTGACAATGTAATAACCGGACATATATTTCTTAACACGAACTCATAAAAAAAAAGATCTGTAAGAATGTAAGAAATGAACTCGTTAAATAAAATACTAAAGTAAAACACCATTTATTGAAAATCCGCATGCACAAAAATATCGGTAGCTACAGAATATTCTTACCCATCACTCGATATTTGCTTCAGATAATCTACAATAGGTGATAAAACTTGATAGTAAATTTATGAAGAATTCTCAAATAAATAATGCATATTGAAACAAAATAAATTAACTAACTTGTATATGTAAGGTAACGACTACTGCCTCAGCTTGTGTGAGTTAGCGCTATAATATTGCCGCGTCTATTTTACGTATCAAACGTAATGAATTGCACATAAATTAAATATATATCCAATAGAGCCAATGAAACGAATTGACAAAAATATATATCACGTGAATTACATGCATTTGCAATGTTTTTAGTAATTTAAATATCAATTAAGTATTGAAATAATGGAATCAATGTGATTGCCAATTAATTCCAATACTTCTTATGTAATATGTCATTCGTATAATACGCCATAATTGTGCATAAAATTAAACCGTTTTGAATGTTTTTTTTAAATGTTACTATGATTTCGATTGTAAGAAGCACTACAAGTTGTTTATTAACATTACACCAAATGAGGGATGAGTGCTTAAAGAATTTTACGCTTCTAGTTTTGAATTATTCTGCAGGCGCATTGCGGCTAATGTAATTCAGCTTTAATGCGCTCGATTTATTAATGCCATAACAATATTAATGACAATTATAAGAGCAAAGGACCGTGGCAATGACAATATATAGCAGAATAAATTGCCTGTTATTCAGGCATATAAACGAAAGAAGTTTACATGTATTAATTAACCCCCTCATTCTTAGGACTGGTACTTTTAGTAGGCACTTCTGCTTCCGCTTCTATTTGCGTGTCATTTTCGGTTTCAGCAACCGATTCTGTTTCTAACATCATTTGTGATTGTCCTGCAGATTCGCCTTGTTGGATTTCTTGTTCTAGTTCTGGTTCTGGTCTTTGTTCTGATGGTTGCTCTGGTCCTGATTCTGATACTGGTTCCGCTTCAGTTGCTACATCAGTATCAGCTTGGCTACTGTCATCCGCGGGCGAATCTTGCGATCTAACAGCATCTACATAGCAAAAACTTTTATACATAGTTGAAATCTATCAGACAATAAATATTGGACATTAATGCTAATTAATGGATAATAATTGACTATAATTATATCATATATTTGCCTGGTTAAAGATAACTGATAGATAACTGATTGTTACTATTTATGATCATAAAACGGTAGCAGAATTATTACCTGGGCAAGCAGGATCGGACATCAATGAGAACATTTTCTCCTCGGACATATCTTTCGTCAATTCCTTAAAATGCACAACTTGATCCGAGAAGGATTGCCAAAACGATTGACCTTCGGGTATGGTAAACATAGCCTATGCATATAATTATGCATTATGTAATGAAACGTAAAAAAAAGCATTTAGATAATTCCATATTAAAATTTCTTAGAAATAACATTTACCTTGTACTTGTTATATATATGTTCTGCTTTTTGTCTGATTTGTTCTGCCTTTTGTCTGAAAATAGCCTATAAACAATGTTAACAATTATAGTAAGTTATTATGGTACGATAAAAGTGATAGTGTCCAAGTATTTCACAGTTTTATATTATAATTCTAGTATAGTATATAATTAGTAGTAATAATTATATAATAATAATACTAGCAACAAGATTATAATATAGTTTGTTCTTTACCTCTTCTTCCGCATTCAATTTCCAATCCGCTAAATTGCCGATATATCGGCGCAGCTGAAATAAAAAATAATTATATAAGGAATATATATAAGTTTTTTAATATTATTATTACTTTTTGTATATTGTTACTTTTGATTTTGTTTAGCATTTACCCTTTTCACAGTCTCAACGATGTGAGGATGTTTTTTCAGCATTAAAGGATCAATCGAAAGAGCCAAAATGTCATCCATTGCCTGTAAACATTTATCTGCATTGGCTCGGTCTAGACCTAAGCTGGATTTTATTTGAGCGTCCAACTGTAAAAGTTGAGCCTCTATACGAAGCCATCTGAAGAATAATATATTATAGACGTTATATGATACTTAGTTGCTCTGAGATATCTTTATGAAATTATTAATTTTCTTCATACTAGTTAAATTTCACATAATGACACAATGGCCTATTTCTTTATACCTTAATTTGTAAGTTTTGCGATGAACTGCTCCGTCTTTCAGAGCACGTTTCTCATCTTCTGGCACATGAACATTGAAGTCGAGAGAATCTTTCACTTGTTCCGGCAAAATCTCACCACTTTCCAATTGTGCCTTGAGTTTCATAGCTTTCCTAGCAGTCAGCCAATCCCACTGTGTCCGGGCTTTTTCATTTTCGAAAGTCTTCGGTCTATCCGCATCCAATTTGATGCCTACGTACTCCCCGGCGAATGTGCGAGCTAGAAGAAAACGACCTGGTGTATCAGAAGATGTGCCACTCGACACTATAGTATCATCAAGTATCGATCCTTCACCTGCATTACTTCTCTCTGTAAGATAGATGTAAGAGGATACAAGCAGAATGATTAAACTAATCGAATCGAAAGAAACAAAATATCCATAAGTGCTTACTTTCGGCAGCAGCTCGCTTTTTAGGAATTACGTTTGATTGATCATGGGAGTCTTCAGTTTTCGGTTTACGGCCACGTCCAGAATGTTCTACAGATAATATTTATCGAATTATATATCATATTAGTTTAAAATATATATCCTTATAAAATAATCAACTTTATGAGTAAATTTGTAATACCTAAAAATGTATCTTTATAATAAAAAAGTTTAAATATGCATCCAATATGATCAAATGAAATAGAATAGAGTTTCATATTACACATTGCAAAAGGTTGGGGATAAGTGGTATTTTCAAAGAACGTAGAACAAGTACTGTGATATTTTATTAATAAAAAAATACTTAAGGAATAAATACATTAAGCACTCAAAAGTTTAGCTTTTTGTAAACGAATTAATGACAGTTGTTCTAAAAGAATTAATCTCTTTAATCGTTTTGCAGATAAATCCCAAGTTTCATTGGATTCCAGAGATCTCGTATATTTTTCAAATATTTCTGACGGAGTCTGCGTTTCTTTGTCCACCATTAAATATGAGACTGGTGTAAGTCTTTTTATTTTGCTTGTACCTTTAAAAATTTAATCATGATGTAAAATCAATCTTAAACCTGGCAAAGAACATGTTCTACTTTCGTGTGTTTTACGATATCGACACATAGAAGTAACATACCAACTATTAAGCACAACCAATTGCTAATTAAGCATTAGAATGAAAATAGAAACAGTAGAAAGAGACAATCTTTTGTTAGAAATATTTCATCACTCACAAGTTCTAATAAACGAAATCGCAAAAAATTAGTAATAGATTCCATGAAAAGTCTATGTATTAAAAAATATTGTGTTAACAATACCGTTCTTTTCTATAATAGATTCGGTTTCTTCTGAACTGGAGAAGTCAGCAAAACGTTTTGGCTTAATCTTACGACCACTGCGACTAACGACCTCTTTAGGCGAGTCTTCACCTTGTGAATCCAAAGCTTCTTGCTTCGATGTATCAACTGAGGCTTTTCCTCTGCCACGTCTCTTTTTTACTTCTGGTGTATCCTGTTACATGTTATATAATTTTTCGATAGAAATTGTTTTAATAATTATTTTTACATCTGTTACATACAAATAATGTTATAAGGAACAATCGCACAAAATATTCAATCTTTAGAAATGTTTGTCAGCAGTTCCTAGGTTTCTTTTTGGAGTATATTTGTCAATGACTGTTTCATTATCGCAGTATTGAACAGCATACACATTAAATACTCCAAAACATTATTGTTTAAAACAATAAAGAAACAGAAAAATAAATAAATAAAAAGACAAAACAATTGCTTACAGGGGTATTGGAGGCAGGTGTAAGAGGTTTCCTTTTCAAAGACTTTTTCTTTTCTCCTTCATCTATTATCAAAGAACCAGATTCCATGTCACTATCTGCGGCACTAACAGTTGGTAATTCAGATGCATCCCCAGATGCACCCTTAGATAAAGTATCATCTACAACAATAATCAATAAAATATTATCAAAAAATCAAGCTCTGGAAATTCAAAAGTGATAAAATGTATCACAATTAATATATTTTCTTTTCATGATATATAATGAAAATAATCTAAATGCTGGGACTAAAACATTTGATATCTAACATTTGTAAACTATATTATAAACTATATCATGCACAAATAGTATTAAATTTCTATTTGGCTTTTATTTCCTAATTATTTTACAAAATATACTTTATCATCATTTTTCAAGATATTATTAGAATAATTGTTACCTTTAGCAATGTTTGTCATAGACTTATTCCTCTCATTTTTAAGTTCTTGTTCGAGCTGCTTTATACCTTCATGGAAGTACTTTCGTCGAATAGGCTTGCAAAATTTTGCTTTATTTTCAGTATAAGTATATAGTTCTTCTACCTTGCAAACAGCTCTGAAATTTAATATGTACAAATAAGAAATTATCTTCAATTATATCGCATGACCTTGCATAATATATATAATATGAAAAGACAATGCTACATTAATTTATTATAATTTTGAAAAAGATAAAATATTACTTACGTTTCCCCTGTACCATAAAAGTAAACACTGTATTTTGCATTCTTAGAATTTGCATCAATAACTTTTTCAACCTGCAAATAAGCAAACAATATACATATTATTAACTTATAAGTATACTTATTATACAATTATACAATTACACTAACTTATAACCACACAACTTCATAAAGTCAAAATAGAAATCTTGTTTATTGCTTCTTTATTACCAATTAATTCAAATTTTGGACTAAGTCGTACTTATTTTATTTTAATGATAAATATAAACAATATCCTATTAAACAGATATTTTTAGACTTTTTTCTGAAATATTTAATAGAAATTCATTTATTTTACAACAATATGATATAATTTATATTTATTTAAATATTTCAGTATTTATCCAATGTAGCAACAAATTTATAGTAATACATTTAAATTAAGTATGTGAACATACTTATGCTGGATCAATTGTATATAATCTAATGTTCATCTGTTTATACCTATAAGCTTAGCAGTAACCTATATATTCATCTTTTGTGATATCAAATAACACGTCTTATAATAATTATAAGAATATTTCACAATTATACTTATTTTAAAATATCAAACAACAGAAAGTTTATCATAAACAGAAAGTATATCATGAATCATTGGTACCTTATGTTTGTATCGAGTCACATTTTATTTATCAAAATAAGTACTTGTATAATTATTTATTAAATAATATATATTTTTAGTAATTATGAGAATATTTCATAGTTACATTTTGGTTTTGATTTTAAATATCAAATGGCCTTAACGAAAAGTTCTGCAAGGGCTAGCAGTGACCTATGTGACATGAAATGTTCGTGAATACATGTTTGTTTATAGTACTGACCAAAACGAAACATGATGTCAAGGTTGACATTGGGTTATAAAGAGTTAATGTCATTATTTACACACCATCAAAATCAAGATAATTCAGTACAAGATCACCAATTGCTAGGAATATCAAATTGTTGTGGGAATTATAAGTCTTTTAATAATACGTGCAATATATGCGCCGTACCAAGGCATTAAAGCAGAATTGAGCAAGATTATGTTGAGGAATATCTGAGACTTGATGAATCAGCACCGGTCGTGATTTAGAATTTATGTTTTAGAATATATGTATATGTAAAACATATCTACAAAACACAATCGCCAGCAACAAACGCAATCGAAAAGAAACAAGGAAAAAAAGAGACACAATTTATGAATATCTGATGTCGTTAAACGGGCACATGTGGAAACGGCTCAATATTCCGTACGACAATATTAATCGCGATATCGGTTATGAAGATATTCACCCAAGCAACTCGCCCAAAATAACAAGGCAGTAAAACTCGGCGGAGACAAACTTACTTTAGCAGGCCACGGTGGGTAACCTCGAACTTTGGCAAACACCTTGTCACCGGTGAAAAACTTCTTCAGTAGCTTCACCATGATGACCACAAACAATTCGCAAATTGCACCAATAATCGGCTCGCTATTATTGCTCCTCTGATCGATTGTCTGTTGCGGTTAAAGATCTCGTCAGAATTAACTGCTAGAACGCATTACACAAAACACTCAAGCGACCACCATTTGCACGACGACATTTACGCGGCGATGCTAAAAACACGCACGATATGACGCGAGCATTCCATTGGTCGCAGTGTCAGCAAGAAGAACGTAGCCCGCGCAAAGTCGGGGATGCGATTGATCGAAGTGGCCGACGGGATTAGCGCTGATTGGCCGCGCCTGTGCTCTCGCATCGAACAAACGGAGTCATAAAATGCCGTCGCCACGAATGCAGCGACACTGCATTAGTACAACCGAGACTGGCCAATCCAAATGTTCTGCGAGCAGACATAAAACAAAAGAATAATTTAAAAATAAAAATGTCAAGTCACAAAACATAAAAATATATTTTATTTATTTTTATATTTATTGTATATTCATGTTAATGAGATGTTGGCTTCTCCTTGATACAGTCAGTAGCATAAAAATCACCTAACAATTTATAGAAATAACGTAAAAAGCAAAAGAATTGGCGAAGCCTGCTCTAATGGTGTTTCAAAAGAAAGAAGATCAAAAAACATTTTGCTGAGACTGTTAATTAAAAATAATTACATATGCATCATAGCGAAAAATTGAGTGTAGATGCAGCAAGATTATGTTTTCAATTTTAACCACAGAAGTAGAAAAAACGAGATCATATGTTCAGTATGAGGTGTGCTATGTTGTTGTCATATTTTGCACATTAAACATACAATTACACAATTTCTCTGTACACACGTATATATCGTATACTACACGAAATCACTCCGATGAAATTTAATGTGCAACTTAGAAAAAAGTCAGTTTGCGATATAGTAGTAACGATGGATTCTCATGTCTCAAATCGCTCCGGAACGTTGCGAACCGCGTGAAGCGATTGCGGCTTTACGATAAGAAGCGATGACGCATCTCTCGATGGATTTGTGAACGTACGATTAGAATGCGACTCAATGGATACGGCTTGACTGTCAAGTATACGAATATTCAGACGAACACTTGCTCCGAATGCACTCGGCAGCGTTTTGAGGGAATGTGCGATGTTGTATCAGGTAACAAAGGCAAGGACATCACACGTAAATCGTAGCGAGCTTTCACGAAGGGCACCGAGCAGAACGTAAGTTTATTAAGGCACCTCACAGTGTTAGTCCGTAATGCATTACGCGTTCTTATCTGCGTCTTCTTTTTCATTTTCGAAACACCGATTTTCCACGGCGCGCGTGCAACAATTCTCGCTCGCGCGCTTATACCATAAAACGTGAGACTCATTTTTCCGATCGCCCGCCTAAATTCATCATGTATTCACATTAATTCAGCGCGTTTTCCCGGCCGTTCGATATTTTATATCCGCCTCCCGTGCGTGTTAGGAGCTGCGATTAATCAGTCATATCGTACGTGAGATTTCACGTTATTTATATAATCTTCGGATCCTCACATCGTCTTTATATATTATAAAAATACAATTTAAATTTAGAAATATCTGACAAAATTATATTGCACAATCGTGGGAATTTCGTTTTTAAAGCTGATAATTGCGAAAAAAAGAAAAATTATGTAGTGATTATATACATGCAGTTACAAAAGTTAATAAATAATTTTGCATAACATAACGAGTATCCAATTAGCAAGAGACATTAATGAATATCTAATTTGAAATATAAGAAATATACTTCATGCGTGATGATGAAAAGTTACATTATATTTAAGTATTTAAAAATTATATGAAGACTTGATTTTCTATATGTGACTTTCATATTATTAAAATTGAGAATGTACTTGAGAAAACAACAAGATAGTAATCTTATTCAATCTTGTTAATTATTTATAAATTTTTTTTGCATTATATATAACAAACAGATGAACTCAGAATCTCTACGGCAGCATTGTGTATTACTATGATGAAAGATGCCAATTCTTAAGGAGCAGTGCTTCTGTTGAAGTGGTTCTGGCTCAAGAGGCCTCCTAAAGCACAATGAAAGCCATTGTATCATTCATACTGATCATACTGCTATGTAGCATAAGCTTAGCCTCTGTCAATGCTGATAGGATATGTGCCAGTAAAAAGAAAAATTCTGAAACTCCATCCTTGAAACAGAACTCAGCAGTTGTACCTGAAGATATATCCATTGACCATAATTCAAGTCATATAATAGTAAGTCTTTACAAATTAAGTTAATAATTCTTATCGATATCATAGTGATTCTGAAATTATGCAAGATTTTTTTATTCAACTAAAATAAAATATTTTCTTTATTATGAATGAATGAATACTCAAACTACTACTTGCATTAAAATTAAAATTACCAGTCAAGTAAAAGAAATGTATGTCTAACTTGCAGGTGGATGAAGATGTTAAATTTGAAACATGTAATCATTTCTGCCACGCCTTGTGGCAAGAAGATAAAAATGGCACTGAAATTATCATATTGTCTCAAGGTACATACCATGTAAACTAAGTTTGTCATAAACAATTTATATTGATTGATATTATCAAGATAAAGGAACATGTTATTCTTTTGTACATTACCTAGGTTGCTGGAAGCAGTCTGGTGACCAAAAATGTGAAAATACAGAATGCATTGCACTTCCATCAACAAAAGCTTTGAACAATACAAAATTTTGTTGCTGCCGTGGTGATTATTGCAATCTTAATATTAACAGTTCCAAAACAAATTATTCAGACAACAAAATACTCAATCCTCTTTCTTCACAAAAGTGTCAGCCAAGTAAGATTAATGATAATATTAAAAGCTAGTATATATATTAAAATAACAATTATACATTAAGCTATATTATGATAATTTCCCCAGCTACAGAATATCTGGAACAGTCAAACTCTGAACAACGGTTGTTAATTATAGTGATCTTCATCACAAGTCCACTACTATTTATATTTATCATAGTACTTCTATACAAAGTGTGTCGTAACAAAATTTTAGCGGGTTTAGGAAAATCATCACTTTATAACGATCAGTTTATGGACAGTACAGCATTAAGAACTGGTACTTACACAGTCGATCACTTGAAACTCGCGACTATCGTAGGTATGGTATTTTCATTGTTCTCAATTGTACTTAATGAAAATAATCTTTTATCTAACTTGTTATAATTGATGAATATATTCAGTTCTACGAATTGTAGTTACGATCATGTTACAGGTCAAGGAAGATATGGATCAGTTTGGCAGGGCAGTATGGGAGACCAAGATGTCGCAGTTAAAATATATCCTTCGCACTATCGCAATTATTTTCAAAATGAAAGAGACACTTACTGTTTACCTTTTATGGAGCATCCATCATTGTTAAGCTACTACGGTTGGTATTTTTCATTACAATTGAAACGAATTGGAGATAACAGTAATATGAAATTGTCTCTACAACGAGCACCCGAGTCGATGATGTAATTTATCTTTCGAACTTAGGTACAGACGAGAGAATAAGTATGGAAGGTAGTGTCGAATATCTTTTGGTACTCAGTTTTGCCCCAGGTGGTAGTTTAACAGATTTCTTACGAACACATACCACTGACTGGAGCACATTTTGCAAAATGAGTCTTTCCATAGTTAAGGGACTTGCTTATTTGCATACAGATATACGCAAAGGCGGTATGTGTATAGTATTACTTACTATGTGTATAGTATTACTCCTATCTTTGACTTGCTTGCTTTGACTAAATAATTTAATTTAACTATATTTTTAATATATTAATTACATTTTATTTAATTGCAAATGTAATTTAAAAGTAATATAATCAAAGATGGTAATTTTTATAAATATTGATTTCTAGACAAGTTCAAGCCGTGTATTGCGCATAGAGATATAAATTCGAGGAATATATTAATCAAAGCTGATGGTACATGCTGCATCTGCGATTTAGGATTAGCAGTTCAAATCTCTGGTTCGAAATATTATTCTAATGGAGAAGAGCAGCATGCTGAATTAAAATCAATCAATGATGTAAATATCACTTCAAATACTCCAATTACCAGATTATTTTTTGTATTAAATTCTGTATCAAAACCTGTCGCACTAGGTCGGCACGCTGCGGTACATGGCACCAGAAGTGTTGGAAGGTGCTGTTAATTTGCGCGACTGCGAAAGTTCATTAAAACAGATAGACGTTTATGCGATGGGATTGGTCCTTTGGGAACTGGTTACAAGATGTTCCGATATTTATATTCCTGGATCAGAAGTACCGCAATATAAACAGCCATACGAAAATGAAATAGGTATATATGCAAAGTTCGAGATTTCATATTGGTTGCTTGTTGATACTTTTGTGACGCTGCTATTGCATTTTGTGTTATTCTGCATGTACATATGAAAAATCATTCTTATATTTTTCAGGACTTCATCCCACGTTTGAGCAGATGCAGGTCTTGGTATCGCGCAACAAAGCTAGACCTCTTTTAGAGGGTAATTTAGTAGATAGACCAGGAGTGCGTTTGATCAGAGAGACTATGGAAGATTGCTGGGACGCCGATGCAGAAGCGCGTCTAACCGCTTTGTGTATAGAAGAGCGTCTTTCAGAATTACAGTCTCATCGTGGTAACGCATTCATCGATACAAAACAAACAGGGTTGAGAGTGTTACTTTTCAAAAGTAACTCGTTACCCACATTGAACAAGGCAATTAGTGGCTGTTCCCCTTATTCAATGCTCAATTGTTCCTACAGTAAAATTTGATGACTAGCCTTTAATAAATTGAAAGGGTTATATTCGTTACCCAAGAAACGTACCCAAGAAAGAATTGCATTATTGTTATCGTTATTCTAACAAAGACAAAAATAATAACACTTTTTCCAAATTGTTCCTGCTAAAAAAAATAACTTGTAACGTTGCAAGTGTAACGCGTTACTTTCCAACCCTGACTGTCGACAAACGATTCTTTTGTCTTTTAAAACAGAAAAACTCGTTTTGTAGTGACGATGCACTTTATCGATGGAAGTCCGATGGTTAATTCCCATTGCACCTTAGTGCCTTCGACGACGAACAGTCTTTATAGCGAATCGTCGCATCATGACAATGTACACGTTGTACAACTCGCGTTGAATATGATACAAGATGGTAACGCTAATGAAAATGCGGTAGCTGACAATTTAGTTACATTATCGCCGTCTGACAGTGTCGCTCATGAACACAGTTGTGAGTAGTTGATAAACATTAATTTTAGGTTATCTATGACTTCTCCGAGAGATCACTCTTAACGATCTGTTTTAGTTAAAAATTCCAACGAGATAGCAACATATAATCATACTCAAACGCTTCAGCCGTATCAGGGCAGAAATCCGTGTATGGAGAGAAATTTAATGCTGCAATCGGATTCTTTGGAGGATCTGAGTTGTAACGGCAACGTTCTCGTTGACAAATCGCTGAAGCATGCGTGCAATGATCAATATAGGACCGCCACGGAGGCGCAAGGTCTGGTCTCACATGATTACTTAAGCCAGCACACTACGCAATTAACGCAGCTCAGGCCAGCGACGCCTATACCGTATGTGCAAAATGTCATCTCCGATGAAGGGACACCCTCGTACGGCAAACGTAAGCAAACGAACATACAAGACTCGTCGCTTCAAGAAAGCCCGCGGAAGAAATTGTTCGCTTGGCCCAACTTAAAGAAGTTACTCATCAATAAGAAGATGTACCCGTACAGCAGATACCAAATCGACAGAGAAGACTCCAAGTCGAATCTGCTAACGAAGCAAAATGTCCAGATTAAAACTGTCGAGACGAACGTGACGATTTCGCCGGGAGGGAAATACGTTAATGGTATCATTGGTAAGACATCCACCTCGGCTGTGGCAGTGGAGAAGAACGACAAGAATGCCGTACAAACGGGAAAGCAAAAGCAATACGAGGACGACAACGCGACATCGAACATGCGTCCCTCCACCTTGCCGCTCGTGAGCTTGAGAAATAAAAAACTGGAGAATAATCTCAATAGGCAGCAGAGCATCGACAAATTCAACGAAGTTTTCAACGTGGGCTCGAACGTGAACAACGCGCTGAAAGATCCGCATATGAGAATAAAAACGCCCGGCGATCTGCCGCCGTCTGTCAGGAAAATACGCGGTCGCACGCAGTCAACGGCAAGATTTTCTCTCTACGATGATCGTATGATGTGCAATATCCTTAGCGAGGAGGATGATCGTAGCGACAAAGCCATTTGGAATTCTGTGCCATTCGGTATGGATCTCGGTGATAACGACGGAAAGCAGTCGCCAACGAAATTCGGTACCAAAAATGTTACGTGCTTTTAATCAGATATAATACTAACGTGTTTGTAAAGTCCTTTATGTTTATATAATTTAGTCAAGAGAAGAAGAAAATTGCGGCTGTAGAATATCTTCAGCTTAAATTTATGTACAGAATTTGTGTATAAGAATAAGTAAGAATTTTGTACTCAATGCAAATATACATTGCTACTACAGAGCAAATAATAATGAAATCAGGTAAAACACAGAATAACTAAGAAAAGGGGGGGAGGGAGAACAAGAAAATTGATATTCCAAGGATAATCTGTACGGGATGTGTAATAACTCATGCTACTCGATTAATTTGTCATGTTACATTTAATAGCGTACTTTGTGCATCACGAATGCTTTTGATAAAGTAGACGATTGAGTATGGCTAGCGCACGTAACAATTTTAGGTAGAAAATAGAAAATCAAATCGACTCCCAATTCATATACACTGGACTGCAAGAGATGGATTTATTCATCGTTCTACTTTCGTCATGTATGTTACATGTGAGTCGTCTTTTTTGTAATCGATGTTTCTTTCAATTTGGTACCTATAGAGTTAAGTGAATTCAGCATAATTGCAGCATAAAACAAATACGGACAATCAATGTTAATATTTACATCAAATCATGAAAATACTGTTAACAATCTCAATGTGTATATTTACTTTCTTTACAGCATTTAAAAGACATATAATCTCTATATGTAATGTAAAACAACAAATCTCTTAATGTTAAAATTTATAGAGAATGTTTTAGTTTCATATTATTAGCTCCAAGAATTATACGCGATGAAACTATTCAAACCTCTTATTATTAATTTTTATACACTTTTTAAGAATTTTCCCCTTTCTGTATATATTTACTTTTTATATGAAGCATAATTTAAGTTTTAAACAAAATTGTGCAACATTTGTTCATTAATATGCAACGATATTTATCAGATGTATGACTCTATAATTAATGCAAAGCTATTATTAATAATAGATGATGTAATTATAAGATAGAGATAGTAAAAAGTTATATATTTGAGCACAAAGTATAATTGTATCGAGTTACATGAAAATTATTTTTCCTGATCCTGCGAGCTCAGTGTAAATATATATGTAGTATAATAAGACTTTATTCAAATGTGTTAAGCATGCTTGTTACGTTATGTTATGTTATGTTGAAAGTATCGCAAGTTTTTATGTTATACATTTTGCGATACTTCTTCGTGCAACATGTTATTGATAAAATTATGATAAATATGATTATGCAACTTATAATAAAATTTGTTTTTCGTCGAGAACTTTTGTCCCTTTATTTAATCTTAAATGGTTATAATATATTGGGTGAGTGCAAAAGTTCGTGCGGAGTTTGTGAGTAAAAGTCACACAGTGATTAGGCAAACAAAAATCTTTATTCAATCAATGATATATTCTCCATCGTTTTCTATAATCTTTTCCCAACGTTCTGGCAGCATACGGATGCCTCGATCATAAAAACTGCGCGGTTTAGATTCGAAGAACGAAGAGACACCGTTTTTTAAGGCCTCCAAAGAGTCAAAGTTTTTTCCATTTAAATAATTTTGCAATGACCGGAACAAGTGATAGTCAGATGGTGCGATATCAGGAGAATACGGTGGATGCGTTAAGACATCCCATTTCAGGCTCTTCAGTTTGCGCAGCGTCTTTTTCGAAACGTGTGGTCTGGCGTTGTCGTGATGAAAGACGACTCCCTTTGACAAAATCGGACGTTTCTCTTTTATTTCTCGATTCAGATTGGTTAATTGGCGACAGTACTTGTCCGAATCAATCGTTTCGCCAGCGGGGAGAAGCTCGAAATAGATTATGCCCTTGCAATCCCACCAAACAGAGAGCATCACCTTCATCGGGTGCAAACTGGCCTTTGGCATTGTGTCACCATGCTCACCTGATTGTTTCCATGTCCGTTTGCGCTGAATATTGTTGTAGAGGACCCATTTCTCATCGCCCATCACTAGTCGATCCAAAAACGACTCGTTATTGAGCCGCCCGAGTAAAGAAACGGCTGCAGAAATTCGCTTGATTTTGTTCTTCTCGGTCAGCAAATGGGGCACCCATATATCGAGCTTCAAATCGAATCCCATCTTTTTTAAACGCCGAAAAGCGGTTGATCGGTCAACGTTTAGTGCTGCAGCAACTTCTTCTGTTGAAATTCGCGGATTATTGAACACTAAAGTACGCAAAACATCGTCATCAATGTCAGAAGGTCGACCAGAGCGTGGCTCGTCTTCAAGGTTAAATTCTCCGCGCCGAAATTTAGCAAACCATTTTTCCACAGTTCGTTTAGCTGGTGCTTCATCCTGATAAACGTCCTGAATGTTTTTTACGGCTGCGGCAACGTTTATTCCCTTCCGAAACTTGTAAAGCATAACATGCCGTAAATGCACTTTATCGATACTCATTTTTAAAGTGATATTTCTCGAAGCAGTTTGTATGAAAACAAATGATTTTTTTTTTAATAACAGCTGAAGACGTCACCTTTCCAACCTTTCCAAATTATATAATATGTAGATGGAAGTATTAATGACAACACTTTACGACGCTTATAACTCCATCTATTGAAACTCCGCACGAACTTTTGCACTCACCCAATATTATAAAAAAATATGTAGTGAATTAGAGTATTTTCTAATCATGTTTTTAATCTCAGAAAATCGAAACGTTTACATTTCTAAAATGTTATAATTGTCCATATTTCCTCTGATATTTTTTCTCGATTATCATATTCTATCTTATTTAATAAATAAAAATTTTTTTATTAATCTTATTAAGAATGCTTTCGAAAACTTGTGTATAACTTATGTGTGACATATATTCTATAATATAAGAAATAAATATACATTTGAAGCTTTTTAGTTCTGCTGTTTATTTTGATAGAGGCAAATGAATCTTATATATGTACTAAATTGAATATTACATATAATTAAATTGACTTTAGATTTGGATAATAGTAAATTAATATTTTATAATTGTAAACTTTTGAAATAATTTACCAATCTGTTCGACTTTTGTTATTATCCACCACTGTTTATTACATTGTCCAAAATAAAAATTCCAGTTGTTGAGTCATACTACTTAGAATCAACCGAATAGTAGATCAACCAAATGCAGAGATTGGTCAAAGACATGTAATTCTGCATCTGACGTATTTATGAACACTCAGTGTTTCTTGCACTATACGTGATGTGATAACAGAAGAATGGTGTAGTGTAGGGGCTTACTCCAGAGCCATCTATTGAAGGAAGGAAGGAAAGAAGGAAGGAAGGAAGGAAGGAAGGAAGGAAGTAATGTGATAACGAATGATAACACATTTTTTAGAGGTTGTTAGGAGTTCTGCAATCATTCACTTGTATATAAGAAATATAAAATATTGTTATAAACAAATACAGATATTCATGTATTTATGTACAAGACAATATCTTGCAATGAGTCACTGTAGCGTACCTAATTGTAATAATCGATATAACTGGAAAAGAAAAAGTTTGGAGCAACTTGATGAAAAAAGTAATTATGGAAAAATATCTTTCCACACGTAAGTAAAATTTATAAAATCTAGTGTTGCAATTATTTTAAATTTAAGTTTTTAAATCAAATTTTAGATTTATTATTTAAGTTGATATATTTATTACATGCTAAATGTATTCACTATTTATTTATCACTATTATATGATAACAAATGTTTACATTTAAAGTAATATATATAATTTTTAGATATCCAAGAGATATTGTCTTGAGAAACAAATGGCTGGAAGCATTAAATCTAAAAGATTATAACCTCTGTAAGTCATCAGTTGTTTGTTCTGAACACTTTAGAAAAAATGATTATGAAGAATATTATAAGCAAAAGAAATTGAAGAAAGATGCTATTCCACATGTATGTATAATAATACTATATATTCAATATGTAGTAGTTATATATTATAATGACAATTTTTTTTTAGTTATTTAACAAGAAAGACTTAGAAAGGATACAAAATAATATAAAGCAGAAATTATCAACCAATGTAGAAAATTGGAGGAATATTGAAATTAGTCACAAAACATCAACCAACAATATAGAAAATTTTGGATATATTAAAGCTGATTACGAAGCACCAAATAACATCATAAAAGATATAGCGGATATTAAAACAGGTTAGTATAAAATAGCTTAGCTACAACCACTTCTGAAAAGATTTCTATATTACTTCATGTCATAGTTTTACGTCAAGTGTTTATGTCATGTTAATAAAGTATTTAATGACATATTTTATTTGTAGAATTTATCAAAGAAGAAAAATGTATTATACCAGAGGAAATAATTGATATTAATACAATAGAGAGAGATATCCCTTCACAGAATATTTCATACATGGTACATAGATCAACAAGTATTTCTCCTGAAAGGATATTCAATACTCCTGTCATAGTGCAATTAAAAAAGACTTATAAGAAAAGAACACAATTATTAAAACATAAATTGTATGATGTGACATGCAGTTATAAAAAGGCAAAGAAACAAATTTATGAGTTGTCAACTGTTTTGACAGAATTTCAAAAGTTGATTACAACACATTATCCTGACATACTTCAGCATTTAAGTGAAAATACAAAAGAATTTATGAAATTATAATACATCCATAGCAGAATATATTAAAATAATACAATTTTATTTATTACTTTAATCTGTATATTGTAAATAATTATTATTATATATTTGTTCTTTTTATTATGATTATATTATTCAATGCCGATGTAAGACAAAGATGTGAGGATTTTCTAGCATACTAATGACAAAGTTGCTCTTTACACAAAATAAAATTAACAGAAGGAAAATATACATATTTGTATTTATAATACGAAATTATATAGAGAAAAGTTATTATATGTAACTTATGAAATATTTAGAAAAATGTATAGAAAAATTATATTTAAGACATGTACATATATTAAGGAAAAGGAATATATTAGATATGATATTCTATTTGTGTGTAAATAGCAACAAAAATTCAAGTCAAGTAATTATATTAGCACTGAACGTTTCTCTCCCTTTCTTTCTTTCTTTGCTGGTATTATTTATACATTTTTATATTTGTTAACTATGATTTTCAACCATATATACATTACCTCTATTCTTAGGAATATATAATTTAACAATTTAATTGTAATGACTAGTTTAAATAGATATCGACATAAAGATTGATCGAAAACATCGAGAAAATAATTGACTCTCTAATAAAAAAAGTACTTAAATATTCGTTCTCTCTCTCTCTCTCTCTCTCTCTCTCTCTCTCTCTCTCTCTCTCTCTCTCTCTCTCTCTCTCTCTCTCTCTCTCTCTCTCTCTCTCTCTCTCTCTCATTGGACAATGTGCGAAACGTATCTTATAATATCGGATGCGGGTGTTTGGTGAAAACTTGTGTATTGTCAAATTTCTAACAGAAAATTATTTTTTTACGAAAATTGTTTAATATCAAGTAAATTAATAATCATGACTATTATAAGATTTTTAAGCCGTAATATGAACTTATCTCGGTTGCCAACACTGTATCCATGTATTTACGGAGTAAGATACTTTATAACCTGTATATAATTTTTGGGTTATAAATTTTGATTGCTCTCGATTATTCATTATTAACACAAATTTTATTATAATTCACACTATTATTTTGTTTCTTTTTTTTTTTTTAGCAAAATGTACGATTTTGGTCGTCACACGAAAAGTTTGCTAAGCACAAACCATTGGAGAAGGTTAGGAATATTGGTATATCGGCTCACATTGATTCTGGGAAAACTACTTTAACAGAACGTATTTTATTTTATACTGGTAGAATATCCAAAATGCATGAAGTGAGTATAAAATAGGGTTAGTACATATATTTTTATAAATATATCAAGTGCGATATAAACAGAATTCTTTAAAATGATGTTTCCATAAGAATACTGTAATGATTATTGTATATGTATTTGTTGTTATTAGGTAAAAGGAAAAGATAATGTTGGTGCAACAATGGATAGTATGGAATTAGAAAGACAAAGAGGAATCACTATCCAATCAGCTGCAACATATACATTATGGCAAGATCATAACATCAACATTATCGATACACCAGGACATGTAGATTTTACAGTGGAAGTAGAAAGAGCTCTACGTGTTTTGGATGGTGCTATACTTGTTCTGTGTGCTGTAGGTGGTGTTCAGTCACAAACACTGACTGTAAACCAACAAATGAAAAGGTACAATATACCTTGTTTGGCATTCATTAATAAATTAGACAGGATGGGTGCAAATCCAAAAAGAGTTTTGGAACAAATGAGGGGAAAACTACATCATAATGCTGCATTTATACAGTTACCAATTGGTCTAGAAGGTGATACAAAGGGATTAGTTGATCTAGTTCATCAAAAAGCAGTTTATTTTGAGGGAAAATTTGGAGAAATTGTTAGAGAAGATGAAATCCCAAAAGATATGAATACAGGTATGTACTAGGTATGTAAAGGATAAAAATCTTAGAGTGCACTGAAGTATTGCTTTTTATTTTATAGTTTTATGATTTACTAACATTTTATTGATTAGAGGTGAATGAAAAAAGACAAGAATTGATAGAGCATTTAAGCAATGTGGATGATGTACTTGGTGATTTATATCTGAATGAAATGAAGTTAACTGAAAAAGACATTATGGATGCCATACATAGGGCATGTTTGAAAAGAAAATTTACACCTGTATTAGTTGGAACAGCACTTAAGAACAAAGGTGTTCAGCCATTGCTGGATGCAGTAGTGAATTATTTACCGAATCCAGGGGAAGTAGAGAATTATGCTTTTCAAATAAAAGCAAAGTAAGTTTTATAAATTGGCAGTAAATCTGATACATACTAATAATATTTAAATATTTGAGTAATTTCTAACAAGAGGTTTGATTTAGTAACGAACAGGAGAAAATTATAATGGATTCTGCTCGAGATAATAAAAAACCTTTCATTGGATTAGCATTTAAATTAGAAGCTGGAAGATTTGGTCAATTGACATATTTCCGTTGTTACCAAGGAATGTTGAGCAAAGCAGATACTATATACGATACAAGAACGAAAAAGAGGGTAATTATATTTGTGCATACACATAATGCTACTTTTATAATTCATGTTGCAAAGTCGTACAGAAAGAAGTGTTATAATTATATCTTATAGATCCGTGTTCAAAAATTAGTTCGGCTTCATTCAAACCAAATAGAAGACGTGACGGAAGTTTATGCTGGAGATATCTTCGCTTTATTCGGCGTAGATTGTGCGTCCGGTGATACCTTTGTGAAAAATTCTAAACTGAATTTATCGATGGAATCGATCTACGTTCCTGATCCTGTAATGTCCATGTCTATCCAACCAAAGAATTCAAAGGATCGAAACAACTTTGCCAAAGCTATAAATCGATTCACCAAGGAAGATCCGACGTTGCGGATGCATTATGATTCGGATAACAAGGTATGATTTCTTAATATCATAAATCAACATTTAATGATATAGCATTTAAATAAATAATTACTTAGCAACTGATGTTTGAGAGATTTGCGTTTCTTTTTTTTTTCTAGGAAAGCATAATTTCCGGAATGGGAGAATTGCATTTGGAGATCTATGCGCAAAGAATGGAACGCGAATATAATTGCCCGGTCAGTCTCGGAAAGCCAAAAGTTTCTTTCCGCGAAACTTTAACGAAGCCGCAAGAGTTTGATTATTTGCATAAAAAGCAGTCTGGTGGTGCCGGTCAATATGCTCGAGTGACAGGAATTATGGAGGTAAAATCTAAGTGAAAAATATATTTCCTTTCAATACTTTCATTGTTAATATTTATTGATTTATTGCACCAACGTCAACAGTTTATGTCTACATTTTGTGCATAACGAATAATCTGTGTCTTTTCTGTGATTTAGCCATTGCCGTCTCATAAAAACACGCAGATCGAATTTTCGAACGAAACCGTAGGCACCAACGTTCCACGACAATTCATTCCAGGTGTGGAAAGAGGCTTCAGAACTATGTGCGAGAAAGGTATGCTCAGTGGTCACAAGATCGCCGGTGTCAAATTCAGGTTAATCGACGGTATGCACCATTCCGTTGATTCTTCGGAGTACGCCTTCTTCCTAGCTGCGCAAGGTGCTATCAGAGATATATTCGAAGTCGGTACCTGGCAGATCTTGGAGCCGATCATGTTGGTCGAAGTGATGAGTCCAGCCGAATATCGGGTACAACCATACGTCTGGCTTGCGTTTAATTCAGTACTCGCATAAAAATTGTTTATTTATCATACGGTAGATAATTTTTCACACATACTTCTATTGCTTTTTATAGGGTCAGATATTAGGACAAATTAATAAACGAAAGGGCATCATAAACTCGACCGAGATGAATGAAGATTGGTGCTCGATCGTTGCGGAGGTGCCACTCAACGAGATGTTCGGTTATGTCGGCGAATTAAGATCCACTACTCAAGGTAAAGGAGAATTCACCATGGAGTATGCGAGATACAGTCCTTGTGTAGCAGAGGTGCAAGAGGAACTTATCAGACAGTATCAACAGTCATAGAGGATAGTAATAGATAAGAAAAAGCAAAAATCGAAAAATTGATTATAGAATATGAAATAGATCATTCTTTAGTAAAGAATTGTGCGACGTTATTGAGAATGCTACAAGTTCGTATGATGATACCATTTATTATATCTTTAATACATCTGATGATTAAAACTGATAAATTAGTAGCATGTAAGAGGAATGGACCAAATGTATACAGTGATCCATATATTAAGAAAATATATGATAGTATACATTAGTCCATGTCGCAGTTAATATATAATGTAATTTACAAAACAAATAGAAAATATAATTTCTATCTTGGAACTTTTGCTCCTTTGTATATTATCTATTTATGTATATTATTGATTTATATATATATATATATATTTTTTCCCTCAATACAATTTGAAATATAGCCAACGAGAAAACTTTCGAGAATTAATGAAAAACGAATTCTTTTATTCGGTCATTGGCTGCTTTTCAAACTAAACCAAGAAAAGATATTTGATCCATATTGAAACCAAGTGTATAATAGCCCAGATAAGAGAAACTTATAAAAAGTATCTTAAAGATGTCTGAAAGGCGTTCTATTTTTCCAAACACTATTTAAACATCTTTTATCCATTTTCCAGGTGTCTTTTAAAAGTTTTTGCTATCTCGATGAGAGATACATCCCAAATATTTCGCACTGAAACTATTTTTACTTGTCAAGAGCTCAGTTCTCGAGCCATATTGATTGGTGGTTGTGCCGTGTGTAAGTATTTGACATATACATAGATGTGTATGAAGTTGCGCATGAGTGAAATTATGAAAAAAGACACATGCATAACCTCTGCAAAATACTGTCAGTGTAAATAATTCTTATCATTTTGTTATATTTACTATTTACCAGTGACAGCCAAGTCGTTGCATTACACACTCTGAATATGCGCACTATTGTAGCCAATGAAACTTAGCACAGTCACCCCCCGCATTTCAGTACAACTCCCCTCGCCTATCTTACGGGCTTATGCTCTGTCCCTATATTCCTATGTCTATGGATATAACATTAGGCCTGTTCGTTTTGTTTGCACTGCTGAACTGGTGCATTAAGTGAAAGTGAGACAAACGTAGGTTTTCTCACTTCAACTTGATGCACTACTTCAGCAGTGCAGACAAAACGAACAGGCCTATTTAAAAGCATTCCTCCTATATCTCTTTCGGTCGTCATGGTGACGACGCCTCGCCCGCCTTGTCGCGCGAGATTGGCGGCTAGGTGGCGCGGCAGCGCATGCGTGAGTGTCGAACGTGCAGTGCAGTGCCGGCAGCGATTGCAGCATAGTCAGTAGCGCGTTGACGGTGGAAAGGTGAGGGTCGTTAGTGTGTACGCGCGTCTTACTCGTGTGTACCCTTAGCGTCGCGCGTTCTTCGTACACGAACGGATCAGAGCGCGTCGCCGAAGCGCGGTTGCTGCTGAACGTCCCCAGGAGGGCTCGTCACCTCTCCGGTCGCGCGTCGCCGAGGTCGTGCCGTCGGCGCCGCGGGTGTGTGCGTGTGCTCGAAAAATGTAATATGGCGATGGTTGCGTCGTCGAACATGAGCGGCCACATACAGAAGCAGCTCACCAGGAGCCTCGAGCGAATCCTGGAGGAGGCGCACCTGAGCGGCGAACTCAAGCTAAGCGGCCGAAAGCTGAAGGACTTTCCGAAAGTCGGGAAAGCCGGTTCGGCCGCTAAGTACAACCTGCAGGACACCGTGATCGCAGGTGAGTTCATTTATGCGTTCGTGTTTATCTACGTATATGTGTGCGTTGCCCTCGGTTATTGGCTCCGCAGTCGATTTCACAAAGGGTGTGAAGTTGGCTGAAAGCGGGAAGCCGCAAGGCCGGCAAGAGGATCGAAAAAGTAATGGCAGCAACTTTTTCCGTCGCTTGCTTTCTGGGAAATCGATGTTGCGCGCGCGATCCAACTTCCGTGTCGTCGTATTTTTGCGTTTTTTTCACAGTTACAAGACTCAACACGGTTAATACGTAAGATTGACCATGTCTCTTTATCTTGCTTTCTACATCTATCACATTGTCATATGTAGTTCTGACCGTAATATCCAAATCGGGCTGCGCGTTCGTTAACCCGTTTAGACCGGACCGACGTCGTTTCGGGACGAAAATGTCAGCTTCGCGAGGAACGATTCTGCCGTGGAGAGCAGCCGTGTTTGCAAGCTGTTATTAACATTAACATATTAGCCGTGCGTTAAAACGTGTATTTCCTATATCGAGTCGTCACGTTGCTGATGCCGTTAAAGATCGGTAATCTCCCAGCGTCTTATCGCGGTAAATTGACTACAAAGCTTAGAGATAAGAGAGTAATAAGATTAGAATGAACCATCAGAGAGAAATTTCTTTTTCAACTGTGAAATGTATCAACTGATCGTTCGTAATCTCTCTGCCGCACTGACACAAGACATTCCTTAGGATTTCGGTTCCCTTTAGAACAATCCGCTAGATGCTTCAGTTTAACGGACATTAGATACTTCAGTTCTCTTGAATTCGGCAAGAGTTCGTTTTACGATTATCATAGATACATACATAGATAAGGGGCTATACTTTTGGGCAACATTGATATAGTAGTTATAGCCTGTCTATAGACCGCCTGCACATTCTATCTGCTGGTTTTCTTCCACATATTCTAAAATTTACATATGTCGCTGTTACGTATAAATTTCTATTTTTCACGACTTTCGCATGTTTCTTTTGTTCTTACGTATATTATTTTTACCTGACAATCTTTCTCTTTTCTAGTACATGTCTGCCTGTGCATATCTTTAATTTTTTCAACGTATCAGTTTCGGCAACATTATATTTCTTATGCCATACATTGGCTCCCATGTGCTTCAATAGAATCTTTCCCAGAATGCTTAATAAATAACGCCTTGTCTCTCTCCCTCTTTCTCCCTCTCTCTCTTTCTCTCTCCTCAAAATTCCGCCGGGGCGAACCGCCGTCGTAAATATTGACACGCCGATTCTCGCCGATGCGCCGTTATATTTACCAATATCTAATAATACCTTAACCTTGCACGTAAAAATATCGCAATGTTATTTCTGGCTGGGAGCCTTCAATGTGGGAAATTTGATGCGAGTACGAGCACATTACAACAGTGAGTGCACGTCGATCTCGGTATTATCGACGTTATCGAGTCCCCCGGATTATTTAATAAGCGAATTCGCGCACGTACATATGTACCTACCGATCGTGCAACGCGCCGGTGCATTGACCAGAGAAACCTTTGAGCATTACCTAATAGTGCGCGCTCGCACCTGCCAGGTTCGACACCTGGCGTGCATTACTCACCGGTAATTGCGGCCGCTTCGATTGCGGGACTTTGTAGCAAAATGCGCAGCGCTGGCAGATTTATTAAACATCCAGCCGAGCGTCTTTCAGACGATGATGATGCGGCTAGCGTGGAGGCATTAAAAGCGTTTCGGAATCTCGCACTCTCATTGCGCGTTTGATGTCGAACGCCTGCTTTTTTTACTTCTTTCGTCCTGCCGCATTAACTCGATCCGCAGTGTACAATGTTCTCGCTTCCTCGCGTCATTTGACGTTACGGGCGGCCGCCGATGATTGATTGAATTCGGACGAGAGATTATTCGATATATTTAATTATGGCGACATGTCAACGTGAACGTATCTTTTTGACTCGATCAACGTACGACGCTATGATTTACCTCGGTTCATTGCGAAGCAGCGCTGCAGATTTGTTTTCTTTTCTCCTTCATAAAAAAACAGGGGGACAATCGAGGGGGTTATAAATTGATGCGATGACATCTCTGCTTTTCCCCGGTATTTCGTGAAGTACTCACACCGGGATTAAATTTGATCGTATCGTATGATAGTCGAGGGTTAAAACTGGACGATCCGAGGGAGGGAAGGAGGGAGACACGCGCGCGCGCGCGAGTTAATTTATCTCACTCGAGATAATTACGCGACGGACGTCAAAATCTTCGTTTCGACCGCGGCCGTTTGCACCGTTTGCCTCGTACATCGAACTCGTAAAGTTCGAGCCACGAGTCGCGAGCACAGGCGAATCCAACATCCAGTCCGGCTGAAAAAGCGAAGCTGAAATACCTAGGCTAGGTTTTATTTCGTCAACGCGCAGGCACGCCGCGCGAGCTGCGTTGCGGCGGGTGCAAATACCGCACGAGCGGTAGCAACAAACACGGTTGTGAACGGTTCGAGAGAAATGTTGTAAAAATCAGACTGCTCGCTCTACGTTAACGTTGCGTTTTGTCCGTTTGAAGGTGCAAGTGCTGAACGATATTGCCAGGAACTCGTATTTTATCTCGAATTATCACACGTCTCGTAAACTCGGCGTCTCGTGGGAGAAATCCTACAGATAAGTCTGTAATCTCGGATAAAACAATACGAGATGTTTCGTCTTTCAATTACGGAGAGACTTGCGTATCTTTCGAAATCTAAAGACATTTTCTCAACCGTTTCGAAGGTCCAGAAAATTGCTAAAAAATTATTCGATCGTGAATTTCATTCTATCTAATGACGGGAGAAGCAAGAATTGTCAAGATTGATCGAGGATACTAATGAGTCGAAATAGCGATTAGTTAGCCGGTCAACACGATTATATGTGCGGCCGTGTGGTCCTGACTTTACGACGCCCGTAGCTGGAGAGACGGGCATTGGCCTCTTTGCTGCCGCAAGTTTGCGAGATGCCACGTGCGTTTTCACTTTTCGCGCGAAGCGTTTTCGCGTCGCTTCTCGCGACACGCAAGAAAAGGGTCTCGTGCGGAGAAAGGACGTGGCGTTGACGCGGAATTCCCGAAATAGACTGAACAACGGAAAGCGGGAAAAAGCGGCCTGCGGCGCAACAAAATTACGCGCCGAAGTTATGCGTCCCCGCAGGGGCGCGCGAATTTATTTCTGGTCGCACGGGGCGGCTCGTTTAAAACGCTGGCGGCACGAGAGAGCGCGCACGCAATCGCGCCCGCAACTCTCTCCCCAGTCTCGCGCACAAAGGACTTTCCGCGTGATAATTTCGCCGGCCGATAGACCGGCCGCGTCCTGCTTCTGCTTTTATCAGCTTCGGCCGCGGCCTGAATGTGCAAACCGGCGGCGCAGCGCCGCGGCGACGGCGATGACGGCCGCGGTGACGGCGGCAGGACAACACGGTTATCGCGGCGCACCCAGTATTTCCTCTTAGCGCGATAAATATTGCGTCTGACAATCGATAATTCCAAGAGTGACGCGAATTACGTGCGCAAGGCTCGAACGAGCGAAGAGAGTGCGTGCGATGCGACGTGTCGTCGTGGCGTCGCCCCTCCGAAACAGAAAAACAACAAGCGCGCACGGCGTATCGGAAACCCGGCCGGGTCAAACGTCGACAATGCCTCCGGTGCTTCGCGACGAAATCTCTCTATGAAATCGCGCTCGGCTCTGTCCTGGTGATATTGTCGTCGCGCTCGTATTCGGCGGCAGCGTGCGAACTGTTGTATCCGCGCGGCTCTTCGCTTGGTCGTGTCGACGAAAAATGCGACGAAATGAAGCCTAGCCTGGGTATTCATCGTTAAAAAAAAAAAGGAAAAGCAAAAAAATATGCGCGCAGAGAACGGCCTCTTCTGCGAGATTGTTTCCTCGAGATAAATGTTTACGTGTTCGCGTTTTAAGGCCGCCTCATCCTGTTCCCGAACTCCGGCAAACAGAGGCCTCCGGTCTGACAATTGAAGTATCTCGCGAAGGATCTCGGAGAGATTCGTGTTGCGTCGCGAGTAACTTTTTCCCTCGTTTTCGCGGGCGTTTCCCTCGCTCGCAGAACTTGTAATCACCGCTAAGAGTTTCCGCGAGATAGCGGCGGATTTACTCGGGTTTCTGCGTGCGCGCGCGCGGTAATGTGCAGTCTATACGCGCGTGTACGTGTGCGCTTTTCGTGTAGGAGTGATACGTGTATCAGATGGATATCTGGGTCGACACGCTGCAACATTGAATGCGGTAAATTGCGGGCTATTCTCTCTCTCTCTCCTCCGCGCTTTTCCTCCCCGCGATCTCCGGGGGATAAAAAGTCTGACCGAGCCGATTATAATTCCGCGTGTCCGCTATTGCACGTCAGGTTAGGACTTTGCGGCGCTGATTCATCGTTCCCGAGCGAGCAGCGAGCGAAGGATACCCGCGGTCTGCTTTTCGCCGCTGCAGAGGCCGATGCGGTGCCGGTTTCGCGCGGTTTCATCGGCGAGGCTGCTTTTTTTCTGCTCTCCTTTTTTCCACTCTCTCTCTCTCTCTCTCTCTCTCTCTCTTCACGCGCGATAATCGGCCGTTCGCGAGTGCTAACTCGACGCGCCAAGAATGCGAGATAACGCGTTATTGTCGCGCTTGAATTTTCCCGCTCGTTATACGCGAGTCCCGATCGTATTCGCGGCACGTGGGTGCGCCTTCTTATGCCGGACGAACAATGCGTCGCGACCTTACGTGTTCGCGTTGGAAACCGGAATTTTCCCCCTTGCTGCTCCCCGTTGAACAACTGTGCCTCGCGAGCACAGTGCCCCATATTTTCGCGGCGCTCGTGTTCGGCTAGATGTTATTCAACGCGCGAACGATAATCAGCGATGAGAAAGCGTGGGTGTACTTTTTCCCGCCGATGATTTTTTCCAAAAGTAGCGCTACCACGCACTAACTCGGCAGTTGCGGTTTCGCTTCAGTCTCGAAAAACGCGTCCACGCGTTGATCGTCTCGCCTCGATCTCCACCGATTGTTTCAATGCACC